CATACGTTATATATATTTCAAGTCATTTTATCGTCTGATGTAAGTTAAATATTCTATTGAAAAATGGGAGAACGAAAACATCACATTACGCATTTTTCAAAAAAAATTACTTAACGATCCAGAATTTGAAGAAAGATGGCAAGCCGAAATCAAATTTATGAAAAACAATCAACCACTTGACGAGTATGGGAAGGGTGAAGAAGAAATTTGAAGTATGAAGGTGATAATAACGAGTAATTAAAATTGAGGAGAAAGATGTGTTAAAAATCAAATTGCCGTTTTCAAAAATCACTTTTTAGAGCAATGAAAGAATGGTGGCTTGCACATATCGTTTTGCCTACAAAATTCGGTTTTGAAAAGATGAATTGCTCATATCTGTGATGTGCATAAATCATTACGTTGCTCTCCTCCTAAATCTGATTATTCGACTGAATAAATTATTCTATGGAATTTGTCAAGAGAAGCATTGTGACCAGAGTTCATAAGTAGTTCTAATATTTAACTGCTGATTGTTTACATTTGTCTTTCGAAAGTCATGCAGGATTATGTTCGGAGATGCGTTTGGAAAGCACTCGCTTTGTGTGGGCAATTTCACTTACTCCATATGAGCAAGTAAACTTATTTATACACTTTGAAGAGGCAGGGGTTTGCTTTTAACATAGTTACGAATAATGGAGAGATGATGCAAAGCTTAAGAGAATTGAAAGATTTACACAAATATTTCATCAGACGGTTTCCCAAAAATTTCTTCACTGGTATGACCGTTGAACCCAATGCTCATGAAGAAATTTTTCTTGAGAACTGTAGGAAGCATAGCAGATTGCAATTTTGGATCTCATGTTTCCCTCAAAAATAACTTGAATAGATAGCCGTTTTTGACTAATATTTGTTAGAGCTTGGATAGTCTCTCTCCTAGTATGTCTTCGCAGAACATTCACTTAGCCCTTGATGATAAAGATTTAATTGGGTTTTACTTTCTGTTTAATTAGACTAAGCTGTGAAAATTCATATATTGTCCATTCGAAGTTGGTCTTAGATATACTGTTCTTTGCAGTTTACTGTCTATCCTCTCATTAAATAAGATGTGGGGGAAATGAAATTCAGAACTCAATCCTGATTTCAATGTAAATTTAATTGATTGATGAGAAGAATTCAACTCATCTTTTATGGTATTGACGTGGGTGTTTTCATCATAAATAATAAAGCGTAATTCATATCTCTCTTATGATTGACAGCTGTCAGTCATTGATTGAAGCACTGTATTCTTAAGACGTGATGAAACAGTCTTCTAAGAAGAGACGAGTGGTTAGCCTATGTTTACGTCGTCAGTTTGCCTGTAAAACTCAATATTGAATCTGAACTGAATTTTGAAGGTAAGAGTATTCCTTTTAGTGTTTTAAAACACCAATACCAAGTCTCTTTTCAACATAATCACATGCGAAATAAATGGTCTCCCTTAAAAGAACATCTAGGAAAGTGAAGCAAAATCTAATTATATCATTTGCATCCTGGTTACATTGAGATCAACAATTAAATGGACAATGTGATATGAGTCTAGTGCTCTATTTTTTAGTGTTAGATATGTCTTGCCTTTAAATATTTACAACTGGGTGCCAAACAATTAATAAAACAGTAAAGGCCAACAGAGGCTGACTTTGGAAGTAGGTGGGATCTGTGTCAGATCTCGGAGAGACTATAAACTACCAAAACTGGGCTGCTTGTTTTCAAATAAATAAAATTTCCATATCTACTTTACCATATGTAGCAGCGATCACTGTGCAGTTTATTAGCTGTCTACAAAACTGTAGGGCCATTGAAATATCTCTGAGCCCTAGCCATAGCATCCGGCAGTTGGGTCAGTGAATATTGAACAGGTCATCGATCCTTGTCAAGGTCAGAGACAACCAATGAGCATCATTTAATCGTGCGTCATGGACTAGCCCTTGTGGTGGTGGTCGCACATTCGCTTATACTTATTCTTACCAATATATTTCCGTAATAACGTCCTTTGGATCGTTTGGTCTTCAAAACGGCCATAGAATTTTGATACTTCGAAAAGCTAATACACGTTAGATGCTGACCACGAGTTGTGAGTCCGAAGTTAGCTGTTGGTAACACCATTCCCGTCTAACTTCAGTAGACCCCAATCATTTTGATATAGACAATCTATGTTGGTGATCTACAAAACCATTCATTCCTTACGGAAGTTAATGAAGTGACGTTGGATTGGATAGCATGAATGTCTTTTGTATCACAAAGAGCCGTACTTGACCCACATTCAGGACAAATACATTCACTCTTAAAATATGTGGTAGATCTGGATGCCTATCGTTATGCCAGCAGTGCCTCTCGGAACAAAAGATGTTGTTACCAAAACCTATTACAATACTGAATGTAGCTGAAAGGCACGTTGTCATGTATGACTTTCCTAGCCCTCATCGGGATATGGTGATGCCTATTTTATATGGAAAGCAGTTCCCAGAAAAATGGGTAACAGAACGGGCTTTTTCTGTGCTCCTAAATCAAAGTCACATGTTTCATATATGTTTTCGGTGGCATATCAAGAGGGAACAAGAAGCGAAGTCGACAACGCTCACGACAATTGAAGTTGAGTCTTCTATGATGGAATAACTAATGCGTGAATACTTGGACTTATTTTATTTTATTAAGTCGATTCTTTGTCAAGAACATTTTAATAAGCTCAATAAAACAAGCCTAGGTACGGAGTTTGTAGGACAATAAACGTATAGATACAGGCAAATTAAAAAGAAGCAGAAAGTTTATGATAACGTGTACTTTTGAAATCCAGCACGGAATACAGTATTCGAACACATAAATGACTCTCCCTCTTCTTTTTTCAAGGCTATTTCAGTTCATTCTCATTATTATAGCTTTGTGGGGTCATCAAAGAACTCCGTGTTCATGTAATACTACAGGTTTGTTTGTGATAGGACTCCTCAGTAGGACGTGAAACCTATTCAAGGCTGCAGAAACGAACCAAAGAGGTATTTGGCATAATAAATTGGAGTCAATACCATTGTTTAGTTGTATCCCGCTAGACCGTAATTTAATAAAATATCCTTCCCTACAAGCATGGGTAGATTGAAGTTATTTCACCCATCACCTGATATGCTGGTCAGTGACGATGCCCTTCCTTCTTTTTGTGATGTCAGGCATTTTTATGTTTGTAGTATGTGTGAATGCTGCTCCAAACTAAAGTTCATGTTGCACACCTTTTCGGAATGAACTGACTCTACAAATTCAACGTTCCAAGCAAATCAAAAGGTTAGAGTTTTGTAGTGTTATTTAGATTTCCATTTAGTAAACCACACTGCTATGAAGCTAACTAATTGATTAGGTTACAATATTCTGGTCAGATGGCATGTGGATTGGAGAAGATAAGGATATACGGCAGATAAAAGAACATGAACGAAGAGTTTGGTGTTGCGAAATTTCATTAAAGTTCACAATGTTGTTGTGCCCATTCTTTTCAGAAGAGACAATAATCTCGTAAACCAAATACAAAGATGAGTGGTTAGTCTAAAATATAAATTTTACGAGGACAAACTCCAACATCTGAGATTATTTTAATTGAGCTACAGGAGAAAAAGAGGCGATCCGATAGTGGCTAACACACATGGATCACCATCACCCTCTTGTACCAGCACTATCTGATACAGGTTTGATAACTTAACATGCATATCGTTACCTCATGTCAGTAAATGAAATCCATGTCCCTTATTATCACTATTTCCTTTGTTATTTTACAACTCCGTCCTCCTACATATTAAAAATTAAGTAAATTATTTATTTATTCTTGAGACAATCGTCTTCTCTTAACACTCAAATTATCATTTTATTAATTTACATTGCAAACAACTAGCCTCCTGCCAGGAAATGTGATAACGGCTAGTATCCAGAATCCCCACATTCCTAAGAAAAATGCACTCACTCAGCTACAAGATAAACAGACCCGCAAACAACTATCACACTGACTAGAACTAGTGAAGTCGAGTAGCTAAACCACCACCCATAGCACGTAACCGAATACCTAGAACCGTACCGAAACAACAGCAAACAAGTGCAAAGAAATCAATCAGTTGGTACAAGCTCGTGACGAAGATACTGAATATATTTGCAGATAGCAAACCACTTAGAGCGAAGCTTAGGTGACGTTCATGGACTTGAACATAATAATCTTAATGTAATGCATTTTACAATAAGACATATTGATCTCAAACATATCTAGTCTTGATCGTGCATAATGAGGCAAAAATTTGACAGGATCAGCCTAATGGTAAACACTAAATGATGTAAGGTATTTAAGTAGTACGATAGCAGTGAATTCCACCTAATAGTTGAATAAGTCAAGTTCATGATCGCAGCGTTTGGTAAACGGCCTGGACGACTAATCGCATGAAACCCAACCTGGTCATCATTATCTACTAACACTAGACGCGAACAATCATCTCGATGCTTCACAACCGCACAGCAACGTAAACTTGAACAGTACACCTTTACTGTTACTCGGCAAGGACAATTTGATGGACATATAGATGAATGTGTGTAAGACTGGAGAGAAGTTACAATTTCGAACGTCTTGTCACCTACAAGTATAACCGTGATCAGTTAGAACAACAGATTCTGACTATGTTGAACCTCAGCTGTAAACATGAATGTTTTCAGTTTCATATCAAGTGTAATCCAAATGCTGCACAATGCCAGTTTGATGTAAGTCTTTTCATGAGTTTATTGCAGTTACCAGTAATATCTAGCACATACATAGATGTACGTAAGTATTCGGTTTTTCCTATCACAGACTTGCAAGTCTAACGCACTTACTAGTTAGTGGGTTACTCAAATATATGTCACTCGATGTTGATAATAACGGTACTACATCATCAAACTTCCAATTTTTCATAACAATGAGGTAATAGAACTCTGATGGGTTCCCAAAAACTGCACAAAATAACGTGCTCATATTAATATATATATTGGATAATGGATAAATGTATAGCGGTAAACATACCTGGCGCGCTGCGGTAAGATATGTTTTGGGATTTTCAATATATGACCACTGATCCATCTGAGAGTAGAATCTTCTTAGAATGAGTAGTGACATACAAGTCATAGGTAGTGAGCCCATACTATGCCGATTATCTCAGTTTTTGAACGGTCGGTTTTTATAGTTATGTTTTGTAGATATTTTGTGTAACTATGACTGAGTTAGAATTAAGTCCATATCTTTGATATAAATAACGTGCTTTAGTTCGTCTCCATTAAAATTGTGCTGCGATGGAAACGTATTAGTTGGCCTTGTTTTCAGGTGGTATTTCTCATAAGTTCTCAGCGATCTGGATTTTGGGATCTCATCATCATTATACAGTTGCTAATGGACATAGTTGTACATCCTGTGATTGTTCAACCGGTTCTTTCCATGACGCCGATCAGGCTGTCATATATATATATATATATATATATATATATATATATATATGCGGATGTTTTCAGAGCTAACAAGGGACAGGTGCAACTTCTCGGTCCTTTTAGCAAACAATCAAGGGAGTTTTGTTATCTAATAGCCTGTGGTTGCGGAGTACTTACATAACTCTTCAACTCCTATGCATAATTAACTGTCTTCATAGGAACACCGACTGCGATTTGAAATATTCTCCAGGTCATTATGATTACTTTCTGTACATTAATTTCGCCACAGGTCGAGCTAAATTTCGCTTTATGGTTGACCGCATTCCTAGCGATGTTTTATCGCGCTATTTTATTCAGAACAAGGTGCGAAGTTTTTAGACCCCAAGTTCGAGAACCTTTGCCTGTCTGAAAGTAGTGTGTGGTGAGATAAGACTTGAACTCGCTAAAAGTGAATTATGGCACTGACATGCTTACTATCCAATCGGCTTCGTTTGAGGATAATTTCATAGATTTACATTCATTCGATTCTACCTTATATTGTCTTTTTTGTAAATACGGCTGTAGGTATCAGTTTAAGGGATTCAAAAATAAATAGAAGCTCATTATCTAGACCATAGGTTTTTTGTTAGGTTTTCGCTTTTCTTTTGAATGTTTCGAAATTCTTACTGATTTCGCTACTTTGTCTTCAAGCTAGCTGACAACGGAAAAGCATCAGGTTTACTAATGCAGCATCTCTGCTCCTGATTTACTTGATTCCGAACAAGCTCCCATCTAATGAGTCTTTCCGATGATGCCATACGCTTTGCATTCCAAGATAATTTAACTCGACATCTGCACTACCTTTTATGTGGTTTTTGATGTGACGACTGTTTTTCACCAGAAATCTTATAATAGTCCTATTATCAATCAAGGCCCTATAATTCCTTGATAAGAATATCTATTTAGACTGTCACACGACTTTAAATCATCATGTCCTTTTTCTGTCTTTTGATTTTTTCAGTATCTTATTTGACGAGACAAAAGCAATTTGTCCTACAAGTTTTCAAGATAGAATTAGACAACCGAGAGATATAATGAAGAGTGCGATGTTTCTTGGAAGACTGAGACCATTTCTCAAATCACGCTTTGTAATCCTACGACAATTTAGCGACAGTTCTTCCGAAAAAGTCCCTTTTTATAGCACGAAACCAAGGTTATTTTCATTTTGCGTTTATTTCTATATGTAATAGTTTAATAAGAAATGAATAAGTATTCGATTTCAGAGTGCAGTTTTCTGTTTGTTTAAAATAGTAAAGTTTTGTCCAGGAACGTCGTACCCCCAATTGTAAGTAACCAATATTGAACAAATTCGGTAGATAACTGATAACTTAATGAGCTTAACAGTCATATCCTAGCAATAGCTCTCTGTGTTGTCCTACACTAGATTTTGAAGTCATCAGTAAATGATAGCACTGAACATATTTCTCAACTGCCTGTGTCCATCTTCACAACTGTAACTATTTAAATACTTAAACTAGATGAACCATTTTACTGTAATTCGACGTCTTAGCAGATTTTAAGACAGATTTAAATTTGTGATTCATGCTTTATTTATATATTGCAGACTTTCCCTTCGTTTCTTAACCACAAACCTGCCTTTTTCAGGTTTATGTACAGGGATTACATTGAGCGAGATTTTGAAGGAGAAAGAAAAAGTCAGTTTTTAATTACTATTTTCTGGGCCTGGATTACTTATTTTCTCATTAATCATCCTGAAGAATTGACTGTAAGTATGGTATATCTTTAACCCTTTTTTCCAGGGCCATGCAGCATTCCCTGACCCTAAAACGTTTACTGACGATGAACTAGGAGTTTTATAAAAATTTAGATATGTAACATACATAAACATTAGTAAAATATAGTATACACTCGACATTACGAGAACCAATTTTGTCAATTATTACTATTTTGATGCATATGATTCGGAGTTCTACCCGAATTTTAGATAATACTACTCACGATTCATTAATGGTAGTTACCTTGTGAAAAACGTATGACATCCTTTATCACATTTTTAGTGTTTAGTTGGTAGCTCGTGTGCACATATTATCTCTATAAGTATCAGAATTATCAAATCACTATTTACCACCATAAAGTTATTGAACTTTAGAAGTGTATCTTTATGTCTACCGATTTATCTATATCCAAACCCAAAAGTAGACTAAATGAGACAGAAACCGTATCAGTGCTTATCGATTGTGAGCCGTATTGTGATTTTGAACTGTTTTATCTTCTGAAGTTGTGGGATTTTAAATTGGACTAGACTTTTGTGACCCGAAACCTGACTCCAGTTACATCGAACAAATGGTCGTTATTGAATGATTGCTGTAATGTCGGCTATCCTTGTATACAATTATCGAATTAATCTGCGTTAGTGAATAACAATTAAATAAGTCAAATACGAGAATCAATTTCGAAAACATATATTTCATACAATCGTTGATCCAGACAAACGAGCTGAGAAATGAAGAGAAAAGAACGAAGCGAAATGAAATGCGGTAGATAAAACAAGTGAGCCAACTCGATTTAATCAATATTTATAGCCAGATAAAAATAAGCTACAGATATGTGATGATTAGGATAAGATGTTCACATATATACACTCATTTAAAAACAATAAATAACCCAATAAGTGACAAGGTCAAAATGTGGTTTAAGAAGATTGAATACACCGTCTTGTTCGGAAGCACATGACCTTACACTATCCCCACAAGACTAGTCACAATCTCAAGTAGAGCTTACAATCATAGTAGTGCGATCAGAATTAATATGTCTAGTCGTTTACAAGTCCAGTGGTTCCTGGTTCGCGGAGCTGTTAACTCAGCTCGATGGATTATACGGACTTAACCAAAATCGTCCTTTTAATTGCATTTGGTTCTAGTTGTCTAAATTCGTATTTCTGAGTCAATAAATCTACACATCAAAATAAATCTCTTCTTATAACTGATTTCGATAGTTGATGACTCCTACGTCTGTGTGTATAATTGTCATGTTATAACTTTTTAAACTAGTCGTGTTTATGGTATGTCCTAAATTAAAGCAGAGTATACCTGCTTTCAGTGTTAACAGTGACGAACAGTTTTCTTGCTGCACATGAAAAACAACTAATCGATTGTTTTCATGAGACCAGTCGTTCACACTTTACACTTCCTCTCTTTCGAGAAATGTACCTTACATTTATCACCTCGTCTACATCTCTTTAGTCTTCAGTTAAAAAAGTGATAAAACTATATTCTCGAGAAGCTCTAATAAGTGGTTAAGAAATGGCCTGGTAGCTATGGTAACACGGCATTCACATTTAATGGAACTGCTTATGTAGTATTAATGTCGAACTTGAAAGGAAAGTTGTTCACATGGAGTTACTGGTATCGACTTCATAGATGATTATGACACGGGCTAACCAAATCTTGGTTTGTAAAGGCTCATTTAGCTGCGATGCTTCCAAAGATAATGTTGCAGCTTCGAATTTAGATTGTAGAATTTGGGACATTGCTATACAGGTTAGGAATTCTGGAAGCTTAGGCTTGACGATTGAATCGGTCTTCCTAATACTGCCTGTCTTCATTAGTAACCTGCTTCGGTTGGGCACCCGGGTAGTATCCCAGCCCTCACACAAATCGAATGATTTATGTGGCATATATCTATTTGGTGCCTCCTTGTACCAATGTTTATGTGTTTAAATAAGTGAATAATAAATAATTTCATTAGTAACATTAAAATGAGAGGTAGCCAACTATATATTGCATACTTTTGTGTACATATAATTGATCACTTCGAGTTACTGATCGTACGAACTTCGTCCTATCATTACAGTTGTCATCGTCATTGTATTAATGTTTTCAAACACAACTAAGGTGTAATTACAAGTATTCCTGTGTGTCAGTGCAAACGGTAAATTTTAAATGCTGTCTTAGTCGATGCAAAACGACTTAATTTTGTACGCCTGTTATCCCTCGTGGAGGGATTCTCCATCCCATCCTGTCACGAGAATCCTTTCCAGTAACTATTAATCCTTCTGATGTCTGCTTCCATTTCCCGACGTAGTGTTCTTCGGCCTTCCTCTTCTCATTTCCCCTTGAAGATTCCAAGTTATCGCTTGCCTCATGGTGAAGTTTGGTATTACTTAAATGTATGTCCTATCCTTTTTCAACGTCTTTTCCTAATTTCCTCTTCAGCTGGAAGCCGGTTTGTTCTCTTCTACAGAAGGCTATTGGCTTGCCTTTTATGTCCTTGACTGATCGCTCTAGTTTACGATATTTCTCAGCCAGAATCTTCCTTGTCATTTATTTGTCTCGTATTTCCCTCACTTGCAGCTTTTTCCGCTGTCGCTGTTAGGTCTTCCACATGTTTCTGCTTGTCAGCTCTAATGCTCTTCTTCATTTGCTTGTTTGTTTCTGGGTATTCAGCCTGTCCCTTGACTTCTGCTCTTCTTCGTCTGTTGTCGATTGCTGTTTCCCACATTATTTAGACATTCCACGTACCGATATTTACTGTTGCTCTGGTTGTTAGAAGGAGCATCGACCTCGTGGTTTTCGAAGAACCTCAGCCTTCACTATGAGGTATAATTCTTCTGGATAAAGATCCTAAACTACCAAGACAGTTTAAATAGTTTATCCTAGTTAGCGTTTTTTGGAAAGATTATTCTCTACGGTATGTTGTTGGTGACTCCATGCCCAAACCTCCTTCATTACTCGGGCTTGGGACAGACAATAACCCTAGATGAGCTACAGGCGGAGTTGGTATAAAAGAGCACCAAAATATGTATGCGCCACATAGTGTTTATCATTAAACTTTTATGGGCCACGATATTGTCTGGGTCCTAAAACCAAAGTAGGTGGTTTTCTTAAGGACCCACTTCCCGAGTGGTAGGGCGACGTCAGGTGAAGTTCCATTATACCTGGTGATCAGGAATAGATTCATACGCTTTTTTTTCCCTCAGGATCCTGAAGCCCATTTCGAATCAAGGTTTCCCAACTTTCCTAGGTGAATCATTCGTATCCACCAATCCACTTTAAGTGCCGAACATCCGCTTTTCGTCCTCTCAACTTCGTAAATAACACTCCCACCACGAAAAGACCACGGGGACTTCCATGTCAGTGATATATGTCTGGCCATATGAGAGGATTTTCCTCACCCTCGACCGTACCACAGCATTTTTAGGCACATCATCATAAGGCCTCAGGTTTCATTCGTACTGATGAGTAGTTAGAAAAACGAAATTTCCCAGCTACCTCTAATATGTTCTCTGAATCTGGTTTTCAGCTTCTATCGTCTGTGTGCTCTTATTAATTAATTGTTTCTGATATCACTTCATTCAATTTCTCACTTTAATTATTGTAACAAAAACATTTTATTATCTTCATGCACACTATAATCCGTTCCTAACTTATTAATTTTACAAGATTTTCTATTTGCACACATAATCTTTCTGTTAGATCATCTTGGTTATTCCTTGCTCACATTTCCTCACAGAACTAGTACTTCAACAAAAAGTTTCATTTATGTGTACGGTTGTACATCTTGATAATAAATTCGTGGGAAAGATATCCCTTCGCTGAACTTCATTTTTTTAATGTTTAAATGAAAATTACATATTATTAAGCAGATAGCAACTTTTGGCATATACTAATAACACGACAAATGAGATTTGGCACAAGAAACTTTGCGGAGATTTTAATTCATGGACGACCTCTGGCGATACTAGTGATGCTGAGATGACTCACCTACACACTACACTAGGGTAAAAAGAGAGCAATAAGTTACCATGAGGAATCGAGATTAGGATTTAGGGTCCGGAATTAGATCAAGGGTTTCCATCTGGAACCGACAACAGCTATGATGCCAAAATTCAAGACTTTCTATTCTTGATGTCATGTCAGTCACGCCGAAACTGTTATAAAGTGGTGGTATAATTTGTTAATCAACCGTTTTATATATCAACGCAGAGAACACTATAAAGACTGTGTTGTTTACTAGTGAATCATAGTTATCGATTAGAATAGAAACTTTTATTTATGCAAAATATGTACAGAATGTTTTTGCTCTAATTCATATCATTTTTCTTTATAAATGGCATTCTGAAAACTTCAGTGAGTTTACGGGCCTGCAAATGAAAAAGAAAAGCTTGTTGTTATTACGTGTAAGGACGTTAGAAATAATTTTTAGATAATAATATCTGTTACACACAGTTCATTTCGAGTACATATGTGAATACTGGGTATTACCATGATCTCTGTTATTACTGTACAACTTATTCACGAATAACACTTAGGTTTATTCGCAATATAGCATTTACAATGGATTATGTAGTTAAGAAGGATCACGATCGTGAAATACAGAGAGCTTATTACAACAAATCATAACCAGCAAGCAAACTCCGAAAACACCGCTAAGAGAATCAACTGAAGAAACTATGAAGCATTCTCGAACAAACCTGATACACACAAACAAACTGTAAATGCACAATTGTTGAAATTCCAAAAGTATGCTCAGTAATCTGCAACTGCACAGAATAACCACAGCTAATGATGGTAACTACCATCATCTTTGAGTGAAATTTTATAACACAAACTAATCAGAAACTAAATGAACTGAAGATGTACATAATGCTTATCTACCTAAGTAGAAACATACGATTGACGGTTTGTTCAATAAGTGTATTACAACAACAAAATTATCTGAAGAGCTAAATCTTCATTCTATAGTTACGTAATATGAACTCCCCTTAAAGCTTTTATGAATCTATTCAACATAAAGTTATTTGAAAATTTCAACATACTTTAAGCTGACCGAAACCAGGGCACTTCTCCAAAGTTGATTGATCAGCTCGTATTATGTCGGCTACAGTCTGAAAGTTTACATTGAATAAGAAAAGCTATCTAATTCTTGTACTGTTATATCCTAGTGAAGATTAAATTACGGGTAACCCCTGAGATCTATTAACAGACTAATATTATATATTCCTATTGTATAACTGTTCCGTAATTAAATTAGGTATATCTATATTCCTCTTATTATAAGATCCATTTTGACTTATAAATCATTACTGTACGATTTACTGTTCTTAAATTATGTTCAGTTTATTTGTTATCGTCTCCCACGTTCACAGCCACTTTTTGGCTTGATCTTGTATAGATGTTATTTCCTAATTCATGGTATGATGCGGTCTGTTCGGCTGGTAATATAAACCAAGCATGTTTGAAATCAATGATTCGCATGGCGGAAGCTGTTATTGGTGTTCTGGACTCAACTGGACGGGCTAGGGAAGCAAAGGATCAATAAGGACGCTAGGCTGCTCATACCGGTCGAACATCATTGGTTTAATACAGTACAAGAGTTAATAAGTCGTATTTCGACCGGTGAATAAATCACGTGATAACTAACCGGCCTTGAAGTCACATGTAAAATTTAAAAAATTTATTTCAAAACAACTTATGATTTACGTACTAACCTGCTATTATTAATTTTATTATTCACTTATCAATAGAATACGAAAGCAAATCAGTTTTTATAAACCTCCAAATATTCGTTTTAATTCATCTGCCTTGATTACATGTATACTAGTCAATTATTAAGTTTAAAATGTTCTGGGTTGTTATTTCGTACAATCTGGATTGTATCATTGTGTATAATAATGAGTGAAATAAATATTTTATCGCATCAACCTAAATTGAAATGAATTAAATAATAACATGCTTTGATGCTTATTAGAGTATTTTTAAATAACTATTAGGATTATCAGGATCTAAGCTATTTTAACTTAAATATGTTATAGATCGTTAAAAATGATGAACAGGAAATCGTAGATCTAAATCACCCAGGTGTACTTCACTCAAAGATTCGTAACACTTATTGCCATAATCAGAGACGTTATGGTACGTTGTTCTGCTCCGTTTAATTCTTTCAAGAACAGGATGATGGGATTAAAGTTCTCTCAAGTTATTTTTCATTGTAAATCTTGAGTTGTATAGTGCGAAAACAGCTGACTGAATACTTCACTAGCAATATGCTACTCAGCTTAGTTGTTTATCAACTATTAGTCAATAATATCTATTTTATTTCAATTGCTGCTATTTACCAACTACACAAGCAATTAAAAACCAAGCAAACAAGGTGAGACTTTGTGGACGAACCAATCAGATTTAGGACAACAGGTCTTGGATTTTGGTGCGAAATTCATTCATCCACCGGCTAAATAGCGTTTTGACATTTTAGTTGATGCCAGTTCGCACCATAAACCCTAAGTCTAATTCCTTACCCTAACCATCGGCTGTGAATTATAATTTTAAATCCTCAAACTTGTTCATAACCCAGTAAGGTGGACATTCTCAAGGTCGCTTCAGCGTCGCTCGAAGGTTGTCCACAAATTATAGTCTCAATACACAACACAAACTAAGAAGATATTCACACTTACATCGAATTTTCTCATCGCTGAAACAGCATCAGCTTTTGTGATACGTCGAACCGAAGTTAAGAAATCTGTAACTTGTGCGATATGATCTGTTTGTGCGGCTGGCTCTGCCATTAAGTTATCTGGAGGTTTGTTTTCCAAGGCTTTATAAGCTTCTAAATATCGTGCTGCTTCCTCCATACTGTAAGTGCGTAAAAACGGTATATTTTGAAATTAAAAAAGACGATTAACAATTCTGATTTTCTTGTGCATATCGCGAATAATTTCTAACTTCAGTGATAGTGGACGATACTGCTTCCTATCCAATTTTCCTAAGGCCACTAACTAGGGACAGAAGTCCAAGCATGTCTAAAAGTTCCATCAAGATAAACTAACATTCTAATTCATTCCACTATACACATTAAAAATATTGCAAAACTGAACAATTTTTGCAGAGAACTATTACAAATATTATACTGGGAATCGCATTTAAATCAATGCATAATCTTTCACTTAATTCCTTCCTACTAAGATTTCTTTAAGGACTCAATATCCCCAGCACCTCCAATTTTACTCTCTTGATTACTCAGAACTGAACTATGCACCGTCGGTTTGACCATATAGGGGACTCAGGCCAAATCGTTCTGGAGGAACTGACACTGACAGATGGAGCCAGTTTATTACTTGTAGCCTATGTATGCTGCTAGTTAGATCCAGACAGCATTCAAGCCACACATAAAATGTCAGTTTTAACGATTGTATCTGCTTCATTGTTGAGAATTATTGATTATTAAGCCTATTTTTACCATAAAAACACCATCCTCGGTCCCCACTTTTTCTGAGTGAGTACGTTTCATGGAACCAGATTAAAGAGTGTAGATTTTTCTGCGATCTCACAGCTTGAAATCGATACTGACTTATTTAAACCATTCCTTACCGATCATTATGATAGGGTGGTCACAGAACCCTCTCGATGAAGAGCTGAAACAAATTACCCACTGCTGAAAATCATTACTTATCGCAGATAACTGACTTACAGTGGGACCACATGGTGGTTCCTAGACGTCTTCTCTCTCAGATTCTACATCAGTTTTACCGCAGTCACCCGAGCATTACGTGTATGAAGTTCGTTGTTCGAAGTTTGGCTTGCTGACTGTTTGAAAACTAATAGATTGTGCAAATTCGTGGATGGCTTCTAATTTTCGGCAAGCAGCAAAACTGGACGGTCGAGTACCACCAGCCCTATGGTCACAACATGAAGACCCATCATCCAGAGCACGCAGGTTTAGCCGGGCTAATCAGTGACATCAATCGCCTGATTTTTGCTGATGTGTTCTCAAAATCACTAGGAATTCTCGTGGTAGCACTAAGAACTAACAAAGTCTTCCGCTGACGGAGACTTTTCTCAGAATGGGCTGTCAGAAAAAAGGTCGTAGTTTACTTCCGAACATTTTTGAAAGTTCTTCAGTTGAAAATCTATTATCTACATCTCTTCACTACCACATTAACTCTAAACCAAACAGAAAAGTAGAGAGGTCTGTTAAAACATTCGGAAAGGCCCAGGTAAAGTTGGGTGGGGAAGGTACTGTATATTTTCCAAATGTGTACAGAACAACAACCCATGACGCATTACCAAATCGGAAGTCGCGAAAGCTAGTCTTTATGGACTGCATATTGAAAACAAACCAACAACTGATGTTACCAAAAGGACTGTGGGTAACACTGAGGACCCCAACATTAGTTCGAGATTACAAGCTGAGGTATGGCGCATGGACAGAGGAACTGGTGACTGGGAGCAAGAGTCAGTTAATATATGATTTGGCAGTTGAAAAGGATAAATGTTTGCATATTAATCAATTGTAAAGGAGCGTAGCACCGTAACTTACCGTTGCAGATCCAAATAGACAGTATATCACAGCTCTTGAACAATTAGTAGCCTATTCATTAGAGAGGTGTCATCCACTTGCTATTCTTTTAGTAAGCCCAATGCTCAATGATTGTTGAGACCATTTACAAATAAAGCATAAAAACTGGAGCATAAAAGCTCTTTAAATATTATCATTATATATCAGCATATACGTTACAGTATCAGTTATAAAGACTATGTAACATGTATTCCTCTCACATAGAAAACAAGTTATTCCTACTTTATACTTTTGGGTGTAACCAGGAATATATCAGTCGAAATAATTCCTTTTATTAGCCACAACGAAACAGAATGAATCAATTTTGAATGTCTATATAATCAAAATGTTTTGACAAAAAAATAAAACTCATTATTTATAAATGGTTGATCACTGAGTAGTGACCAATGTCAAATCATCTAGACTAGTGGCAACGCTGCGATTCGATCGATGGAATTTGATCAGCACTTGAAGTTAAATAAACATAATATTGGCTTACCACTTAGTGATCAATCTATTAAAAACATCTCATTCTTACTGGTCAGCAGAGGCTCAAAAAATTCAGTAGTAACGTTTTAGACCGTGAAAATGGGTGATGCGAGTACGAAACACGTGAGGAACAAGTTTCCTTAAGATTGAAGGTACGTTTCGCTGACGAGCTTACTTACTTACGCCTGTTGCTCCCAATGGAGCATAGGCCGCCGACCAGCATTCTCCAACTCACTCTGTCCCGGGCCAACCAGAAAAAATGATTCGCTGACGAGCACGAAACCTATATTCAGGATTTTTCGTCGACTACTTCTAGGCAAAGTTTATCATACGAAATCATTTCGACAGTGATTTCATTAATTAATAAATTACAAAGATGAAAACGCATAAACTTACTTCCAAGCCAACATCAAGGTTAATCTTTCAGTCCAACAAATTTTACACAACTCTTTTAAAGGATAGTATGGATCTGGCTGAAATGAAGTGAATATGTTTTATTTGGTTTTTATGGATTTGATAAAAACTAGATCATTCAAACTAACGAGATTGTAAATTTAGGTTGATTGACTCTAAAAAACTTTGAGTAATGAAAAGATTTGATTTAAAATGAAGCTTATAAGATAATTTGATTTATCAAATAATCAATCGTTTATCTGATACAAGCTGATATGAAGAACGAAACTAACCCCGAAATAATTTTGTAGCTGATTACAATATGCATTTACATAAAATACGTGAGAAAAATTTATTTCTTGTAAAATGTACTTCCTAATTAGCTTTCGAACTTTCTCTAACCTACGACTTTTGAAAAAGTTACAAAACAAACAACTGACACTCCCAGGATTTTTTCGAGATCAATGGGTTTTTTAAGTTGCCAGGATCTTTAAAGTTTATTACCATACCTTTAAAAACTATATTCTCAGTGTGTATTCCTCATTATCATTGGTAATATATTATTTTACTTCGTTTACAACTCATCTTAATTTTATCTTGAGTTAATGTTAGAAAATTCGGCTAACACACATATGTAAGGCTCTACGTTGATTATGACCTATTCATTCTGGAATGATTGGCCAAATTAGCAGTATGTTTAATCAATCAGATTAAGAAACAAAGGTTTAAACTTTTGGAATTTACCAAGACACTCGTTTTGGCTTCGTTAGGTTTTGCTCTGTAGCAACTATTCACATCTAGTAGCTTACTAACTGAATTCGTGTGAGGTATCTTTTTTAATACTACTTTACGGTAAATGACAGACAATAATAGAATCATCTGAATACGACGATAAATAAATGTTACAAGTACAGAATGCAATTAGCCTTACATAGGTTTCTGAATTTACCTTTGAGTTAAATTTTTTTGTGAAGGATGCCAGTGACACTCAACACTCCGTACTGAAGTAGATAGGGATTCAAGCCTGAAACCCAGTAGCTGAAAGTTAAAGCTCCTTAAATAAACGAACCCTTAAAGAAGGACTTGAGATTACGGTAAAATCATCTTATGATTGATGATCTCTATCATAACAGTAACAATTATTAAATGAATAGCATACTTGTGAATAGTAAAAAGACTTGAAAGAATCATGATCCATTAACAGAGACAATATGATAAACACAAAAGGCCTAAATATCACATCGTATATTACTCATATCATCAAGACCAAGAAATTAAGATTCGCGGTCGAATATCTCGGTTTCCGACTCATTACAATTAAATTGATCATAACTACATACATGTCATGGATATCTCTTGATAATAATTGTCAACCAATATAAAACCTATGTCCGAAACTCCGGATTAACTACCTAGACATTAAATGATAATAGTTTGTGATTTTAGCAATTTCAATAAAGGAAATATTATACTGGATAATTAATAAACCTGTTAATTAAAAACTTCAATTTTCACGCTCAAAAATTTAGTCGCAGATATAACTTTATTTCCCACATACCTTGAAAAAAAACTGTTTTCTTTAATTGTAGTAAACTTAATAAACTTACTACATCCACTTGAACAAGAAGTACAGATAGTTGATAATGTTGTTTTGTTTGACGTAAACGTTCAAATATATATTCAGGATTTAAATTATGATAACGTAAGCTAAACAAAATAGAAACAAAGTTACTAGATGCGTTTATTCCATCACATTGTTAAGACAAATAATAATTTATCTTTCAAATGTAATAATATTTAGTAGAGATAATTACATAGTATAGGAATATATTTAGAACTAAAAGCTGGGATTTTCTATTTTGATACACGATAACAAGTTATCCTGATCAAGAATTTAGATGCCTCAATTTCTAATTACCTAATTTTAAAATTCATAAGTGATCATAAACTACAAAATGAAATGAATTTTTTGCATTTAGTGATCACGAGAAATGAAGTTTATCCGGTTGCATGTTCTACTTACTATAAGCCTTCCTAAACAGGGTAATATTTGCATTTTAACAGCTTAAAAGAAGTCTTGTAATAACACTGCTCTTGAGAGTAACCAGACTATATTTCGAAGATGCAGCCGATAATTAGGGGGAAATTGTTTAAAGAATCTCAGTCGAAAACTATTATCCAATAAAGTTTATCAAAAAACCATAAGTCAAAAATCAAAATGTCGAGACAGACCCCAAACTTTCATTCAAAAGGGATTATCTTAGCGTGCAGAATAGGCGTCAATAAAATAAAGTGAATGTCTGTGCTCCAACAGAATCTGAAACAACAATTTAAAGCAGAAAAAGGGGATGTGCACTATTTATACGCGCAATATGATACGCAGAAAAGAAATGAAAGAAAAAATAAAATGGATATAACACTAAAATACCATATTTAGGTAAACAAAAATTGTAAACACTGCGTATGTATGAACGAAAAAAAATAATGGGAACAATCAAATCTGACATGACGTCTATAATATACGTATATGAATGACAGTTTAATCAACCCCTTAAAGACGAACGCAGAATGTTTGTGAAGCCGACGAAAAAATAAATGAATATAGAATAACTGAGTACAAGCATGTTTTAGTGAGTTTCTATAGAAAAGTAATACTCAAGTGATTAGTAATTCCTCACATAGCACAAAGTGATTGTTTGTAGAATAATATTCAAGTGATATTATAAAAACGGCACTGATAAATTATACTCGGTAAGTATCATATCATTCGTTTAAAAAGAAACGTTAATGTATGTTTCAGTCGCTATTGTGAATCCATATGTTAATTCCCAGTTAAATATACATTAAAAGAGTATGCAAAGTAATAGAAGTATAACTGTGAAAACAACATATCTAAATTCGTGTTCCCGTTAGGTAGTTACGCTTTGAGTGGTTTGTGTAGTTTGAGTGAGATTCGTTCAACCTAACTAACTGTGAAACTGCTAAAAAGCTGGAAAAAATTACTTATACAATGAAATATCTTTGAAAACTGATGGATACTACATAGCAATTGAGATGGCTGGGGCCCATGTTACGTATGCCCAACCACCGACTGCTCCAACATGTGATATTCAATGGTGTAGGAGTAGATTGAAAGAAAGCTAGGGGTGACTAGACCAAAACGTGACACTGAATTCTTCATGTCCCTTTTCTTCCTCTTTTTAAATTTATTTCATTGGATTATACTCCTTGAATAACATCTTTAAACCCTAATGTTTCCGATTACTGCTTATACTCTTACCGCCTCTACCACTATGGGATTTGAATCGACAACTGCATCTCTGTACTAATGTGGTATGGCAACTTGAACTGATGTACGTACGTATGAAGTTCTACGTTGTCACTAATTGACTGACTACATGGCAGTACCAATAATGTCGTAGAGCAAACACAAATACTAGTTGCAATTATCAAACAATACTTACGAGAAACAGAAATTGATGTAACTCATAATAATTTAATTCATCGGAAATTCGTTATTCGATTTAACCTGGGATGAATATAGCAAAGTCTTAAACGAATCTAATTTTTGTTTGGACGGATTTTAAAACTAGACAAGGGAGTTGGTATTTTGTTTGAACGAAGAGGCATCCTTAATTTATATGTATGATTAATAAACTTCACGTTAAGTACATTTTACTTTATTCTAGATTAGATTTCAAGATAATCATCCCTGTCAGTTATAAAGTTAATGTTTAATTGCTACGTGAATCTAGATATTATCGGCAATCGTTAATGTAAACATGTTAGGTTAATGCAATGAGAAAACGAAGTTTATCAGAACGTGTTAATAAATTGTTCACATATACATCATTTTTTTAATCATGTTGACTGTATAGAAAATTTGGTTGCCCTAGGTAATTAAAGCCGAAATTCTGAGGTATATAGGTGATAGTACACTAATCTTTTAATGTCGGAAAATATATAAATTATGAAAAAGTTTACTATTTGACGTGCAATTGATCCATAGACGCATCTTAGAACAGACGAACTACTTGGTCTAAATGTAATGTAAGGTTAGACAACCTGGCATTAATTTCGAGGGAAAGTAAATAATTTTGAGATATTCACCCTACAATGGGGAAATTCCGGACTAATTTTCATGGGCTGGTGAAAACCCGACAATTTAGTGCATTGTTTAAATTCACACTGACTGTTTTTGAAGGGCTACGTTTTTGTCTTTCCTTTTTTGTTTTCTTAGTACAATCTCATCTCTGGACTTCACGTCTTTTTTGAATACAGCTACGTGAAATGCTTTTTCTTAACAGTGATTTACCATCAGATTATGATTTAAACTTGCCTAGACGCGAAATATCGTCAATAAAATGGTATTCACTACGAAGCTGTAATTTCATTCGTAAAATCGCGCATAAATTTAATGGCTGCCGTCGTTATTCTATTTCGTTGATTCTTTTTGTTTCGAGGCTGTCAATAGCATTTAGTTTAACTTGATCAATTAAACGGTTTGACCGGCAATATTAACCATAAATTTGAGGCATGATAAATCTTAGTAACTATTCCAACCTATATAAACTTACTTAGAAGTTTACGCTCCGATATGACTGAGGGGCCAATTTCCTACTTTTACCATTCATAGGCCCTTACGACTTTTCTTTAGATAAGTAAGCGTGAAATACACAGCACTGTTGAAGCAAGCCTAATCAAACAACGGGTCTAGTCGATAATGTACAAAGTTAATCTGGGATAGATTTAATCTAAAACACCAAATTATGGAGCCAGATGGGCTACCACAAACTGTTGAGCACTGATGAAAGAAAACAATGTAGTCAACACAGGCCATTTTATAAACTAGTGCGTTTAATATTTATTTTTCCAAACTCAACGCAGAATACTACGAATCCAACTACATAAGTTTTATCATTTCAACTAAACTATTTTATACACCAATAATACAGCTCACTAAATTTATTACTATATTTGCGTTATGACACGCACAATTTACTGGATTATATTTTTCGTCATTATTCATCAAAATGAAACATTCTTCCGTCTAAAGTGAATCCGTTCTTGGTTTTTTACGTGTAATTTTTCTATATGTTATCAGGATTAACGGATCTTATAAAGCTTTGGAATAATCTAAAGCGATAATGGCCGTTTTCAACACACTCAATTTAATAATATTTATGATAGTGGCTGTCCTTATCTAACGTGTATATTTTCAGTGCATTTATCAGCCACTTAAAAATTTAACAACTGCAACCTTCTGATTTTAGTTGGAGTGATAAGAACATGCATGAGAATTACCCATGTACGCAGTCAAGTAAACATCCATAATTCTGAAAACAGCATTGTTACGAATATCTCAATGATGATAATGAGTCACATAAATATCACTGACATTAAGTAGGAGTCATAAGTTCTTTGGCTATAACTTTATGTTCTCGGGATTTATCTGGTTTTAATTACAGAGCTCGTAAACAGCATTCACTGTTTTTTTTATTCTGCAACGATAATCGGTGTTATACGCATAAATATGCCATTTCCTAATCATACAAATCGTTTTATAGTTGACTAACTCTAAACAAATAGTTCTATCAAATCTTAATTTTCTGGTCAACTTTAATATGAACATCGAAATATCTTTCTGAGTTGATAGAACAAACATAATATAAGGCAACTAACCTTAGAAAATATATACAATTATTTCTTCCTACAACAAAATCCGGATCAATATCTGCATACTCCCAGGCAACATTACGTATCTGTTTTAAAACAGGATTACCTCTCTAGATAAACAATTCACAATAATAAAAGGTCAAAATAATAGGAATTTCTGATGAACACGACAAAAAATCGTAAAATTAAACTTTTCTAATGACCTTGAGTAGCCTTTCGCCCAACCAGAATGAAGGTGATACGAATTAATTATTTAAATAAAACTCAAACACAATAGAATATATATATATATATATATATATATATATATGATTGCTAAGCTCATTAAGTTGAACAGTAGATTCACCGGTACAACAAATCAATATGGGTGAGATACTAAAGCTTGTTCACATGAATTCAGTTCATTTTACATTCAGAGCTTTTGCAAGGCATATACTTTTAGTTGTGACTACACTACCTAAACATTATTAATGTGGATACCAATTATAGGGTGGATTAAATAACGTTTACAAACGATTACCTGATAAATATAAATATATAGACTTTCCTTATCGATCGCGACTTCTGGATAATTTTTCTACATCATTTAGGCCGTAATGTACAGGGGATCTTGAAAGAGATCACAAATACGTTTTGATTGTGCCCTGAATAACATCAAGTACCTTCAAAGAATAATTATCATTTCAGATACAATTCGCATCATAAGCAGGTGTTTCTTTTAATTTAGCTTACATACCATGTTACATTAATTGTGGAATCGCATCACAGATATATCTGTCAATTTTAAGATATAGACATAGGCAAATTATATTTGGCTTCCAGCTGGGCCCGAACTATCCATTGTGCTTGAGCTTATACGTATTATTAACGACATGTCACTTGATAATTTCAAACAAGCTGAGTATTAACTAGATTGTTAATAAAAATATATCTATAACGTCCCAAAATAAATAAGAATTCTTACTGAAAGTTAATGAAGAATATGGGAGAGGAAAACAGCAGTCAACTTAGACGGATAATGAAACAACCCATAACATAATGAAAATAACATCATAGTTTTAAAATTACCTGACGCTGATTCACAAGGATAGCATTTCCAGGTGTTAAAATTGGTCCTGTTTGTATTCTACAAATGTGTGAATGTAATAATCATGGAACTGCATGAATTATTCATCATTAATCACATTTACATCAATCAGTAACAAATTACAAAAATACTAACGTAAATCGAAGAAAATGGAATAAAATGAATAGTGAATGAAAAGAGAAAATATCGTTACACATTATCATTTATGTAATTATAGTAATCGATTTTCCCCGTAACAGAAAAATGAGATGACACAGAATATTTGTAGCTTGGGGTGAGAATTTCGGAGATAATGTTTTCTGAGCAGGACAGTGAGGTTAAGTATGTGAAAGCATCACGATTAAACTATCCAGCTCAAAGAATACAACTTCAAAAAATAGAAAAACAAGTGTCGACATGAAATAATAATATTAAAGAGTTTAAATTTATGTGTATGAAAGTGTTAGATTATAACTTAATTAAAATGTTATACAATATATTTAAATGAAATCCGTATGCTGACAGCTGATGGCATACAACTATCTCATTTTATTGCTGAACATATGATAAAAATTTCACTGGTTGAAATCATGAGTCAATTGAAGCTAGACCACCATGGAAAACCTGGAAGCAATGGACAGCCGTTTCGTCCTAGTATGGGACTCCTCAGGAGTGCGCATTCACGATCTCGACCTCCGCGAGATTGGAACCCAGGACCTATTACTCTCGCGCGTGAGCGCTTAACCTTCAGACTAATGAGCCAGCATCCAACGATGTTAATGTCTAACTTCAACCAATCCACGAAGTTGCGCTACCGTACATGCACGCGAGACTGATAGGTCCTGGGTTCCAATCTCGCAGAGGGCGAGATCGTGAACGCGCACTGCTGAGGAGTCCCATACTAGGACGAAACGGCTGTCCATTGCTTCCAGGTTTTCCATGGTGGTCTAGCTTCAATTGACTCATGATTTCAACCAGTGCAATTTCTAACATCCTCACAAAACCCCTTCTGATATAATAAAAAGATGTTATGGGATTAATTTGAGAACAGGCACTTCAATAAATGCTCTATACAAATAACCAGAAAATATTTCGATTTTTTCTAAGGCTTTAGTTATAGGAAAATTCAAACTAATTGTACTTATATTAGAAGCAACCTGATAATATTCGGTTTATTTTTATATAAAGTATAACCCTGTTATTTGTCCTTTATTATCCTTATTAAATACTTTTTAAGTATCATATAAATATGTAAACAATTGTTGTTTGGACTGTGTTCTTTGAGCACACAGATTTAATGTGAAATAAGCGCTGATAATACTGCCTAGAACAACTATTCTTTTACAATCAGACCACCAAGCCCAAAGGATGTTAAGCAATCTTAAACATTTATCTGGATTATGAATTTTTCTCATTAAAATAATTTAATTTATCAACAGACTATTCGACATGCACTTAATTGATATGTTGTATAATATTGAACTTCATTTTATCATTACATTATTTGATTATAAGTTTATTATCGTTATAAAGAAAGTCTTAGTTTATTCATTTATTTAAATCACTTCATTGAGATTGATTTAGTTTTAATCATTCACAAATTTCTGATTCAAACTTTTAGTCGGCAGACAATCCTAAACGATGATCCCCGTGATGGTAAGTGACTACAGTTAACCGTGCTCAAGCATTCAGCTTTTGATTAACTAAGATTCCGATTAAGGATAGTTCCTAAACATGTGTTTGGCAAGTGCACTTTACGCGGCTAATATAACATGCTAGAGAAGTTACAATGATCGTAGGAAAGATTTTCTGCACAATAGTCTTTTTGTTTAATGAATAATTCTTTGAATAACCAAAACTGATTAAATTGCGAATTTACTAAGACTTATATTCTTAAAGCAATAAGTCCCTTTTATAAATTTCTATAGAGCAACTCCGTATTATCATTGTTGTATCAGGATTTTATATTTCTACAAACTCAGACGAATGAATGTATAAAGTAAATAGAACACTGTATATACATATATATATATATATATATATATATGATTATAGATAATATCAAGCTAATCTGTGCAAATCTGTAATTTAAACAGACACAATTTAGCCTTCAATGCGTTATAATCAATATACATGAATATCATATGATTCAAAGAAGGAATAATAAAATATACACAATCTGAACATTGGTTTTCAATGTGACAGATGCACAAACTACAGTTAGCTATCATACTCCGAAAGAAATCAAAGTACTCATCGACTGGCAGTCAAGTAAAGACTGTATGTATTATGTTAGATTAAACCAATGGTGGATGTTTAAATTATAACGAAACTGGTTATGGGTTTCGTTACGGACATGTCAAATGCATAATTTCTAAAACTACTCTTGACATAAGCTGAAACCGAACTACTATGAGGGAGAGAGTTTAAGTGTAGAATTTAATTTAAAAATGAAAATAAAAGAATTCAGTCTTATTATTTATCTACTTAGTTACAATTAAAATTACCTCTTGTTTTCTTCCGCTAAGTTAGCAGATGAGACAAGAACGCGTGATAGAGATGGCAGCTGAGATTCACAAACAGGTTTAGCAATATCACTTATCAAGTTAGGTTTCAAAAGTGAACCCAAAGTAAACTGTTTGTTAGGAGATACTGGTTGGTTTGTTTCACTAGATGATGACTGAGGCGCACACCAAGATTTCAGCATACCTTGATTTGAAGAAGTCTCATCTTTTTGACCGTTTTTTGATGTTAATGTTGATGACATTGTAGCATTATCAATTGTTGCGGCGGTCGCAGCTGAAATTGCTTCCTGTGTACTTAAAATGTTCAAATCCAACTGACCTTCTTTATACGCTTTAAATAATCTAAAATTATCCTAAGAATAAAAAATACAAACGACTACTGAATTAAGCAATAAGCATAAAATGTGAAAAATATGACAAATAATCGTCAATTCTAATAGCTGATCACTGCTAAAAGACACTATCAGCACAACTGAGGAAAGGTTGTTCTTTTTTATGATTCAACTAGGATTGGTAATACTTTTGTAGCTAAAGGACTCATCACTTTGACTCCAAAAGATAATGAACGATGAAATATGTATGCTTGGTAATTTCGTAAATATTTTTGTAACCAATCCCCTTAAAACAATGTGAAAGCAAAAGGTTGAATAAAAGTAGTGTTGCGGATGTGTAACTTTCATGAATATGATTTACCAAAGAAATTGTATGAACGATAAACACGGAGTAGCCTTTGGTTAGTATTGGCCAAAAGACGTTTAGTTAAGTATGAATCAGTTTACATGTGAGAATAGATAAAGTAGTGTAGACACGGAGAAATAGACATACATCTGCTTATAAAAGTGTACATAAATTAAAGATCAACATTAGTTAGATATTAACACACAACAGAACTAATAACGTTGCAAATACATATACAAAAATCAGATAAGTTCAAACAATAGCTTGTAACGATCTGTCGCCAATTCACAATACGATTATAAATCTGACTAAATCTTTATTGTTTCACGTATATAAAAATCGCTACAATATTAGGTAGAGGACTGAACCACTAAATCACTGTTCACGTACTTATGAGAAGCTTGAGAAGAATTTGACCGAAATCATCATAGCTCACTTCATAAAGATTGGTTTATTAGTTGAATGGTAGATTTTTTTAATGCTTACAGTATACCAAAATAGATTTGCGTTTATCCGACTAAATAATCATAAGCCTGTAGTAAATGTGACTCAAACTTACGTAGAATAATTAAAAAACTAGTGTCGATTGTAGGTAGACAAGTGTTGATTATACACTTTGATATACCCTAACGACTAACAGTAAGATAGGTATTTATTAGGAAGGATCTGAGTTATCCTTATGTTTAGAATAAAATGTACTGGGTTTGAGTCCTGGAGTGAACATGAGTAAACATTTCTTTGTGCATAACTATTCACTTTTGTAAATATACATATTGCATTAAACTGGATTTAATAACATGCGATCATTTTAACCTCATTTTATAAGTTTAATGTATAGAAAATTACATAAGATACTTCCAATGAAGTCAAAACGCTTAAGAAATTATGCACGGAAAATTACATGTTTGTCATCGAAAGTGTCCGATAGATTTGTGTCCAATCTCCCATCTTCGTCCTCTGAATTTGTTTCATTCATTAGTCACTTTCTGTAAAGCTGCAGATAATAAAAAAGACAGTAAATAACTATCAAATATCTGTTGTGCATCGTAATATCTTAAAATTATAAACTAGTTAGTCATAAAAGATTTTGGGCTTGGTGTCAACTACCTCCAGCTGACATACAGCACGATGTCGAATCAGAGTAGCGGGTAGATTGCAACTTGATCGACAGTATCTGAGGTGTGGATGAAGAAAATAATGATTGGTTGTTTGCTTAGTTAGACTAGCAAATAGTCTGACATGTATTAGATGAGTTATATATCTTCCCATCCTTATCATTATTGGTTTTCAGTGGAAATATACTTACGTTCTAGTCAGACAAATAATGTGTTCCTGATATGGGTTGATGAATTCCTGTAAAATAGACACTGAGAGGGTACCTAGTGTAGTATTCGTCTAAGGTAAACTAACGTATCAGTCGGCGTAGACAGGAAAACTGAGTATTATAACAATATCTAATCACTGATCACTACTCAGGGATCGATCAATTGTATAAATTTACAATTAATGTACAAATTACCAGATTGATACATCAAATTCTACCGTAAAATAAAGGTTAATGTAACTGAGTTATCAGGTTGATTTTCATTTACTAAGCGAAAACTACGGTTCGATAGTGATGATATACTATAGATCAATAAAATATAGTAATGGATCAATCGTAACTCCAACAAGTTCCCTTCAAAACCGTAACGATTATACACAAAAGCTAGGCAATCGATTGAAACTTCACATTGTCACTGGCTTGAACGAAACATTTTATTTATTTCAACACATAGATAATGGTACAAAGAGGCACCAAATACATATGCGCCACACAAATCTCATCCGATATGTGTGAGGGCTGTGATACTGCCCGGGTGCCCAAACCGAAGCAGGTGGTTTTCTTAGGGGGCCACACCCCGAGCCTTCGACCCAAAGGTCTGATCCACAAGGCAGTGGAGCATCGTAAGGAGATGCAGTCCCATGGAAGCCGGTGACCAACAATTGGTTCATTCGCCATTTGTTCCCGCAGGATACTGGAGCCCATGTGCACCATTGGTTTGGAATCCGGTTAAAGCGCCGGACATCCGCTTTTCGTCCTCTCATTTTCGTAAACAACACCCCCGCCACGAGAAGGCAGTGAGTAGGACTTCCCTGGCAGAGGCTATATACGCGTGGCCGTGTGAGAGTATTTCGAGAGGGAGAGCGGACTCTCCCCACTCTCGGCCGTACCAGGGCATTTGGGGGCTGAACGAAACAACCGAAATTTAGTGGCTTTTTAGTTGAAGTATATACGAGAAACTATCGGACTGTACCAGAAAAGAATTACGCAAATATGACAGAAAACTGGTCAGATTACAACACAAAAATTAGAATATTTAGACTAGATAAGTAGAGAACAGCAAAATTTCAATAAAGGTTTCGTTATTATAAATAAATTGTTTCGAAATTTACAAAACAAACATACAGAAGAACACTGTTTACATAAATTAAAGGAAAGAGATCAAATGTATAAAAATGTAAGGAATAAAATACAAAGCAAAGAGATAAAGAAAATGATACAGAGGTGGAAATTATCATCACAGTTTCAAAAAAAAGGTAAACACAAAACTGAAACGAAACAATTCCATCAGTGTAGTATAAAAAAAGATATCGTGGAATATATTTTACTGATGCACATATTTAATTATAAGTGTTGCAAATAAATTTTGATAAATAGATCGGTTATTCCCGCACTCAATTGGAAACAAACAAAGTGTAGTTATAAATAAAAATAATATATTTGTAATATCCCAATGAGTAGAAAATTGGATTTTCTGACGTTTCGTGACTTAGTGTAAGTCACTTCTTCAGAGAATAAATAATAAAATAAAATATAAAAAAAAGTGTAGTTAATTTGTTAAATTTTTATATATTTCACATCCACTATCATTATTACTGTATCTCTCATTTAGGAATAGGATCAATATGATCGCTAGCAATAGATATCTCATTGTGATCTAATGAGTCATAGTTGAGATCCCTTGGTGTAATAAACCGTAAATGTCCATCAGGTGTACGATGTAGGTCAGTTAGTTTTTGGATTACCTCAGAAAGCAAGGGATTATTGCCATACTTCACAATCAACTGACTGCATCTACAGAAAAAAGAGGTAATTGAAGAGAGATAAATGTGGATTTATGAAGAATAAGCGATTTAAGTAGGTGACATCTAGGACACAGATAAACCAAATGAGATATTCTTTTAAGCTATGCAAATTGATCACTTTCGTTACCTACTCTATTTAGCTCCTCTTATATCATGAAATAAAATGAAAACAGAGTATTCAATTTGTACGAGGATTACTGGACACCATGTACCTTACGATCGTATTCCTCATTTTATAAAAACAACAGTTTTTATTGATTCCTTTTCAGTACAGTTGATGAATTTACTTTGGGTGGTCGATTGTTTTTACTGTTGTGTCGATTGATCATTCTTTGAAATTTAGTTATTTTGCACTTGACGTGTGCCACAGAATTTTTTAAGATTTTACAGTTTCGATACTCACAGACTTTTATTGTTTTCTAACTTGAACTCGATATTGATTTAAACTCTTAATTCGGATACTTCGCATTAGAGCTTCTATTGACAAGGATCATGATAAAACAATCTCTAATGTAGCTACATACTAAAAAATATTTTTTCATTAAATTCATTTCCTAACTTAAACACGAACCAAAAAGCATCCACTAAGATGTTTTATACATGTGAACAAGATAAACAGCTCTTACGACACTAAATTCAGTACCCACTAAATGCAACTTTTCATAAAGGAACTACATTTAGTAAACTGGTACAAAATTTTAACTGTCAAAATGTCATATGGGTGAGTTTATGATGGCCAGGACGATCCCAGGCAGGTCGCTGAAGGGCCAAATATACTGTGTCTTGGTCTCAACCTCACATGGAAGGTAGGCTATGTAGGTATGGGTGATTTATTTGTAAGTGAATTAACCAAGGTAACCGTTCACATATCTTGTTTGGGTCAGTGTAATAACATGTATATGCATAAATTTTGCACATAATTATTCACTTTCAATATACAGCTTCCTATCCATTCTTATTGTTTTTACTTTGTATGGTTGGTCGGGCAAGCGTTAGGAAACCTGCAACGTGAGTGAACTAGACTGAAGACCACAACAATATAATAACGACGACTATAATTAACTGAACTTTTCAGCACAAACAAAATACCTAATGGTATTCTCGTCGAAAGCATTCAAAGCTATTTTGCAGAAAACATCAGGAGTTTTGGGCATTGGTGATTCAAATAACGAAAAAGTGAACGCAGCTCTGCTTAGCCCTATGCAACCCATGTCAATCGTTCAACTTCAGTGAACTGTTAGCTCGATTAATACTCAACAGGGTTGCTGAATCTCATTAGAGCCCACAAGTAGTATCATATAGAGTTTTAGATAAAACTTAAGACACTGTTAACTACGATGACAGAATCAGTGAACACCCAAAAATCTGTATCTAGTTTTGAAATTAACGTTCGACTCAGTTAACTAGTGAACTCGACACATTACCTAATGTATATTAAATGACCAACATGAATTGCCGGAACTATAGAACGTTGGAGCTGCTGAATTTATGTTGCTTTAGAAAAGTCAACGAAATATTTTGGTATCTGTGACTATAAACACAAATTCTGAAGACCTTTTCAAATTCTCATCAATAAAACTGGTTCATCATCTCAATGATCGAGTGATAAATCAAATGGTTTTTTTGGATCATACCCGAAACTGATTTCCCATCATATTGTAAAATATGCCAAATAACGTTACCAATTCTGTTATAAAAAGGGGAAACTAATACTCTATACACTTATAGTAAAACTTGGCACGAACGCAATAGACCAAGTATCTGTGCTAAAGAAATGATGAAGCGAGAAGTTCATTTTGTTTCTTAATCAAATATTTTATTTTGTTGAATGATGAAAGAGTTGAGTCTAAATATCATGTTGTAGCTCAATCACACATTCAAATGGGAAATCAAATAACTAAGTTGTTAAAATTTTATGACAGTATGAAAGTTGTTCTAGACCATGATTTTGTTAGATGAGTAGATTTTTTGATTACTTAACACAAAATAATGATTGAAACCATCTTGGTCTTTTATGCCTTCTTATGACTACTGTTGTAATAGTGGCGTATGCTACCTTCCCTTTTAAACATACACATCAGGACCAAGGACTATCGATGATAGGTTTTGATAACATATTAACCATTGGTTAGAGACCTTTCGTTGTCGTACTTACAGAATACATGGTGTGAAAAATTAACAGTCAAAAAAAATTCAGAACAACAAAACTTAGATGTGAAGCATCGACTAAGGATGGCTGTACATACACACATACCTTTCTTCCAACTTAGCTAACTTCAATACAGTTTGTTCTAATGCACCCAACTCTAACAAATGTTTAACACAATAAAGTTTTAATGATGAATTTGAGGTATGCTGTGAGAGAATATTCATCACTTGGTTGTCATCAGGATAATCGTTAATGGCACGAACAATAGGATAACTGAATTTTCCTTCAGTTAAATCTTCTGCGAATGTTTTTTTTCTATGATACTAGAAATAGGTAGTTAAAAATAATAATAATGTTGACTATGATAAAAATTTAAGCACTGAGTAGGGGTAAGATGTGTTGTAACTGATTCATAAAGTATTGAAACAAATAAATCAATAGTATAGTAGGTAGTTTGAAGAAATAGACACGAAAGCACATACCTAGTTTGCGTGCTATTTGGCGCTCGTCAACACCCAATGATCAATTAGTTGTAAAGACATATTGGTTCTACAGGGTCAGTTATAACTCAAATAGCTGTGTTAACGTCTTCAACTGTGAAGCTGGATGACGGGGATTCAAACACTACAGGAAGCATTAGTAATCTCCGAATTTCGGGTACGCCAACTAATCGTGACTTAAGTCAAAAGTTTGCTGTAGACTAACTCAAATCGCTTAAAAGCTCAACATACCGCACGCGATGTCGAGTCACTCAAACTGATGAACATCAGTCAGTCAATTAGTGACAACGTAGAACTTCATACGTACGTACATCAGTTCAAGTTGCCATACCACATTAGTACAGAGATGCAGTTGTCGATTCAAATCCCATAGTGGTAGAGGCGGTAAGAGTATAAGCAGTAATCGGAAACATTAGGGTTTAAAGATGTTATTCAAGGAGTATAATCCAATGAAATAAATTTAAAAAGAGGAAAAAAAGGGACATGAAGAATTCAGTGTCACGTTTTGGTCTAGTCACCCCTAGCTTTCTTCCAATCTACTCCTACACCATTGAATATCACATGTTGGAGCAGTCGGTGGTTGGGCATACGAAACATGGGCCCCAGCCATCTCAATTGCTATGTAGTATCCATCAGTTTTCAAAGCAACATTTTGCATTTCGAGGGAGAGAATCGCATCCCGAACATTCTTGCATTGTTGCTTAAAGTGGCCAGAAGACTCTGCATTTTGTCAGCGTCTTCACCAAATAAAACTATGTCATCGGCATATTCTAAGTCAACAAGTGAACCTTCTGGTAGAAGTTCAACCCCTGGAAATTTAGATGAGGAAAGTGTCATCTCTAAAAGTACGTCAATGACAAAGTTGAACAAGAAAGAAGAGAGTGGACAGCCCTGACGAACACCACTTGATGTAATCAATTCTGATGACAGTTCGCCATAAGCTCTCACTCTACCAGTTGTGTTCGAGTAGAGAGCTTGGTTATCATTAAGTAGGACACTAAGAGCTTTCCTTGCAGCGTCTTTCCTACGTCCAGTAAAACGTAGACAAATACGCGCGCGCACTACAACATGATCTGAATCCAAGCGCGTGCTCTACGACGAGCGACAGTCTTCTATCGAACCCCTCCATCGGCGGCTTATAACGATGTTATCTATTTGGGTCCAACGTTAGAACGAATTAGGGGTCGCCATGTTAGTTAGTATTTGCAAGAAAGAGGCGATTACCCGAGCACAGCTGCAACAGACGGTCGCCATTATCTGTTCTTTGAGCCGCGACACCATAAGATCCACCCAGGTGCCTTTCCCTACCGCTTAGTTTACCTACTTGAGCATTAAATTCACCAGCCTCTATCACTATATCAGAGCGCCTAGCTTTTCGGAGAAGGTCGGAGAGCTTTCTGTAAAACTCATCTTTTATATCATCTGAACTGCAGTCTGCGGGAGAGTAGGCAGAGTCGACGAAGAGGCAACGACGAGTGTCCCTATCTTTTCGGATCCTTACTGTTCCGTTCAGTCGGACAGCAGACAAACGAATGTCTACTGAGATCCAGTCTAAGAGAGCTAGCTCTGCCCTAGGACTCAATGCTATACGTACGTCGGCGAGGCCACGGGAAGCAGAATCAGGGCTTCCAGATACAAGAAGTGTGAATCGAGATGGTTCTTCATTTTGATATGGTGAGGTCAAATGAATGAGGCTACTCGGATCCTGTATGCGCGTTTCGGAGACGCAGCACACATCAATGGTGCGAGACTCTAAAGTCCTAGCTAAGGAAGCCTGTTGTCTTATTTGGCAGTGTTTGGACGTTAAAAGCTTCTATATGTAGTTTAGAGCGTGGTTTCAGGAGATCAGGAATAACGTTCCGCGCACTCGAATCGTTTGCCCTAGCCGTGCGAGATGATAAAGGGACCTTAGAAGGGTTAGTCGTGGAAATAAGAGAGTTATTAGGTGTAAGAAGGATTTGAATGTGACCAACTTGGTCTCGTGTGTTGTTACGGGTATGAGTGCTGATGTCACTTCCCGGCCGCCCATACAGTGGAAGGGTATTTCTTGAGGAACCTGAAAAGGAAATCGGACTAGTGTTGGTCTTAATGACCAGGAAACGTGACTGCACAGCCCAAGGGACAACTGCTTGAGGCCAGTCACGCACAGCCTTTATGTGGGGAGTTTTTAACGTGACAGCTGTTTTTCAAAAGGCCTTACTGCCGGAGGCAAAAGTCTGCGAAGTGTGACATTTTTAGGGTCTACATTTTCTAATCCATTCCTTCCTTCCTTGTGATAAAGCAGCATCGCTGTTATGCTGGCTGTCCAAGGGAAACACATTACTGTTGTCACACCCCTCTACAGTCAGCAGTACTACTTCACCTTCAGACCTTGGGTTTGTTGCTTTTAGTCTTACCGTTCTCCAATCGACCTACCTGGCATGGTAGAACCTACAGGGACATATGTTCCAGTCAATATAGCCCGGTTGGATCATCACGATAGGTAAGCCCAAACACCGCGTCAAGGTAGCAGCTACGGTCGGGTGATGAACATATTATAACTTGACCGACATAATTCGATCGGTACAATATCAGTAAACAAACATCACATTAGTCACTAGCTCCATGATCAGGCAGCTGTAAATCAAAAGTACTGACGCTCATCCTTTAATAAAATGGTAGTTGCGTAAACCATGAGATGTATGACGCCGATCAAATAATTTTAAAAACATATACTCAGTATGAGACTCGGAAGTTTGACAATTAATTTTTTTAAATTCAGGTGTCAACTGAGATATACAACAAATGTAAGATGATTAAGAAACCAAGCCTTATTTTTGCCACCACAGTAAACAGCATAGTCGATTAGAGATGAATCTAGAGACATTAACTGCTTACCTAAACGAAATCACGATTGGATTTAAACTTGCAATCTGACAGCTAGAAGTTATCTTTAAACGATTAGGTCACGACGACAAGTTATTTAGAATTTCTTGCACTTTAATGGTTCTGTTAGTCTTTCATAGATGATATCTATTAAATTATTAAAAAAACTTTCACAAGCTATTTTTAACCTGAAGACTGATGGATATTCCAATGAAAATATTTCCTTGATCGCTATACTTCGTTAAGCAATGGATTTACTGGGTTCAATCCTTTAGTTTACATCGAAATTTGATTATACCAGTTGATGAAATGTTTTGCACTGGATATTTATTTTGTCATCGTTTTGAGACTACATACAAAGTATATACGCTCCATAATCCACCGCCTCATGAGAATTACCTTCGAAAATCCCTACAAGATCACTTCAATTTAAAGAGCGTAAATTATAAGTCACCTTACAATTAATTGGACCATTTTGTAATAAAACTCATTAAGACTATATATCTAAAACGATATTCTTATTTACACCTCGAGGATTTAAAACAATGAAAATGCAACGTACAATGTGGAAGTGGAAGTCTATTTGGAATACAGACTATGCTTTTTTTAACAAGAAGTACTAAGTAGCATACAAACGAGTTGTTACAGTTCACTACAACAACCTTCATGTTGTTTGACCATAGGTAGAACGTTTTGTTGACACATCAATTTTAAGAAAAAGACGATACAGACCCACTACACTAACATCTTGTGAGTATTGAAAAACCTGCACCATGCAATTCAAAATACGAAAATATTCTTATATATACAATACTTAACAAAAGGCAAGTTTACACAACTTACACTTAAATCAACTAAGTTTGCATAATCGTCACGAATTTGGTAAAACAGACCAATCGCATCCAAAAGAGGTTTATAATCTCTATGGTAAATAGACAAGTCAGAAGATTACAGACCGCAAGTTTTTAAAAAAGGAACTACCTTTAAGCATAAGATTTTAATAGCCATTATGTTTCAATATAAATATATATATAAGTAGAAAACCAGACTGCTCAAATTTCCCAGCACTTATTGACATAAACTTTTGTTTTGAAAGACAAATTATATACAATAGTCAAGTGTACTTTCACACTTTCATAAAATATCTACCATCTACCTTATAAATCTAATTTTAATAACTGAGTAATTCAGGAAGTAACCGCAGTGGATGGCATATTTGTTTCTATACCTGTATGTAACACAGAGTTCATATATTCAATATATTAGGTGACTAAAACAGATATTATTAGAGAATGATTGATTGTAAACATTTACAGATGAATATGAATGAAAGGTAATCACCATTTAGAAATTTTTATGCACATCTTTTGAATATCAACAGTCAGTCAATTACAACGTTGGACCAGGAACATATATGCATCGGTCCAAGTTGCCATACCTCATCAGCACAACAAGATGGAAATGGGATTCATAAAAGGGGGTAATATATAAAATATTGCTATAAGGATAGAGTACAGGAAGAAAGAATTAGTTCGTAGAAAGAAAGATATGCAGCGATTTTAATCTCTTAGTTTAAGGGAAGACAAAGATTGTATACACCTACGCCATTGTGATCGATTATGAGCCATGTTACCCACAGTCTCCAACCATTGGTTACGAGTCACGCGGACCCCAACAAAGTAGTCTGCATCTACCAACATGGCTAAGACTAGATGTCGTGGTAATCGGTGTTCAGGCACACGTAACACGTGGCCCAACCATCTCAGTCGATGAAGATTCCCAACCTCATAAACTGATTTATCATCATTCCCTAATACCCCAAAAGCCTAACCTCACTATTACTTACCCGATGATCCCAGCAGATGCGAGCAATATTTCTAAGACATCTGTGATCAAATACCAGTAACTTACGAGTATCTTCTACTCTTAATGGCAATGTTTCGCAGACGTAAAGTAGAACAGAACGAACTACCGAGCAGTACACTCATCCCTTAATTGATAGACGGATATCTCGCCTTCGCCATAGGTGACGTAAGTTGGTAAACGTCAAACGAGCTTTTCGAATCTGTGTAGAGATTTCGTCAGACACCAACCCATTAGGGCTGATCAGACTTCCAAGATAAGTAGAGTTGTCTACGCGTTCGACTACTTCACTCCTGATCCTTAGTTCAGGTGTTGACGCAGACCAGTCCTGAAGCGAATATAAAACGAGAATTTCGTTTTAGTGTTGAATACTTTGTGCTGACAATTCTTTATTGTAATCGCATACATGCTTCTGAATAAAGCGATGTTCACTAATAGCATCAACAGTAGTGTGGTGCATACTATCAACAAGACTGACTGTAAGTAATATGAAGCGGAACGTAGTGCGGAAGCTGGCACAGTCGACGGACAGACGTTTGCAGTGGTCTTGAGTGCTGTTAGAGGTATGAGTGCGGTTATCACTTCATGGTTGCTTACATCGTGCAAGGGTTCTTCGGGAGGTACTTGAAAAGGAAATCGGAATAGAGGTGGTCTTAGTAACGTGAGAGCGTGACGGCAATGCCCAAGAGACAACTGCTTGAAGCCAGTCACACACGACCTTTTGTGAGTAGTTTTCGTGTTAGCTCCGTACTTGTTGGGACCTTGTAGCCGGAGACGGATATTCGTGGGAAAAGACGAGGTGTGCATTTTTAGCGTCGACCTTTACTAACCCCACTTCTCCTTGTGGAAAGGCAGAATCACTGTTATGCTAGTTGTCTGAAGGGAACACCTTACTGCTGTCACAACTCTGTACAGTCAGAAGTACGACTTCGCCTTCAGACCTTGGGTTTGTTGCTTTTAGTCTTATCACTCTTCAGCTGACCTGTTTGGCATGGTAGGATCTTGAAGAACGATTGTTTTAGCCAGTATAGCTCGGTTGCTTCATCACGATGGGCAAGCCCTACCACCACGTCAATGTAGCAAAAATGGTCGGGAGATACAAGTTTCAGTAAGTCAGAAAGCATGGCGTAGGTAGAACGCTTAAAAACTGGAAGAAAATACAGCTTAGAACTAACTAGACTGCAGAACACATAGAAAGATGCAAATGGACGGTCAGATGTTGTGTATACATACCATACATTGTAATTTCCCCACTCTCGGCCATACCTGGGCATTTGGGGGCCTTTACTTTACAGTAGTAGCACAGAATGGACCTGAGTACTTCAAACAATATTGGTCAAATTTATATGGTCTTTTTTGGTTACGGAGGGACAATAAATTTCCATTGATGTCTATGCTCACAAATATTGACAAGTGTAGTTAGATGAACAATATATATATAACTAATTTTATTTCATTTTGACATTGATTTTAATTAACGGAAGAAACACTAACAAATTTGCTAATTATAAGGGCTCAATTTTAATTCTCAAAATCAATGCGCCCAAAAGAATAGCGTACTAGTGTTATCATTCTACTTTTTAATATCCCGCAAACATAATACTTCACTTGACTAGCCCGGAATCAGAACATGAATTGAAATTACATGAAAATGAATTCCAGAAAATCAGGATAACAAAAGATGATGGCGTAAAAATTTGAGCATCTGTATAAACTTCATACGAGAATCTTCTACTGTCTTCTCAACTGGGAGGATTACAATATCTACACGGAAGTCTCTAATTGAAATATCAAAATATAAGATATAGATATCACTCTAGTGTTCAAACCTGTAACAAAATTACTAAATATGGAAAGCATAAAATAGCTTCGACATGAAATTTGCTGAAACGTACTGAAATGACAATTTACACTATTATTATTATTATTATTATTATTATTATTATTATTATTATTATTATTATTATTATTATTATATCACACAAAGATATTTTAGAACATTTCAAACCAAATCAGTGAGAATATCTAATTTCTTGATGAACAGGCAGAAATTAAATTGATGTATACCGTTTAAAATATTTAATTGAGTGAAAAATGGACAGTTATCTTAACGTACGTTTGATTTTCAGAGAACAATTGCATTAGACGAACACCTAGACTGAACAGACCACCAGTTTCTGGAAACAAAGTTAAGGTTAAATATGTATTATTTAAAAAGAAAAAAAAACAAAGCGCTCAAGTACACCAATACATAACACAAAGAGAATACTTGGTTGTGAACACCTCAATAGAAAGATTAGAAACTAGAAAACGACAATATACAACAAATCATCAACTTCATAACTCCTGTAATTCACTCAGAATTGAAACTATCTCATATAAGGCTAAGTTACAGAAATAGTTTTTAAAACTTAATAAATAACCTTAATAGGTGAAAGTAATGTAATGTACCAACATTTGCGAGTATCAAGACAAATGACTTGTTTTAATTAGAGCAAATATGAGAAAAAGACAATAAATAAACTCTTAAGATATACTAAATTCACGCCCATCGTGACACAAATCATAAACATTAGGTGGAACATGATTCTATGTACAAACATTAGAACATATACGAGTAAATGATTTGAAAATAAATAACTAAACAATTGATAACTCAAAGCAATACAATAAACAATCAGTCAGTCAGTCAGTCAGCTACTACGTAGGACCAGGCACATACGTGCATCGGCTCAAGTTGCCACACCTCATTAGCACAGCAAGACGAACACCGGGTTCATAGCAGTTAACTCAGTGATGTAATATACAAAGGAAAGATTTTATGTAAAGATATAGTACAGGAAGAAAGAATTAGTTCGTAGAAAGCATAAAGTAATCATATTTTAAGGGAAGACAGAGATCGTATACACCTACGCCATTGTGATCGATTATGAGCCATGTTACCCACAGTCTCCAATCATTGGTTACGAGTCACGCGGACCCCAACAAAGTAGTCTGCATCTACCAACATGGCTAAGACTAGATGTCGTGGTAATCGGTGTTCAGGCACACGTAACACGTGGCCCAACCATCTCAGTCGATGAAGATTCCCAACCTCATAAACTGATTTATCATCATTCCCTAATACCACAAAAGCCTAACCTCACTATTACTTACCCGATGATCCCAGCAGATGCGAGCAATATTTCTAAGACATCTGTGATCAAATACCAGTAACTTACGAGTATCTTCTACTCTTAATGGCAATGTTTCGCAGACGTAAAGTAGAACAGAACGAACTACCGAGCAGTACACTCATCCCTTAATTGATAGACGGATATCTCGCCTTCGCCATAGGTGACGTAAGTTGGTAAACGTCAAACGAGCTTTTCGAATCTGTGTAGAGATTTCGTCAGACACCAACCCATTAGGGCTGATCAGACTTCCAAGATAAGTAGAGTTGTCTACGCGTTCGACTACTTCACTCCTGATCCTTAGTTCAGGTGTTGACGCAGACCAGTCCTGAAACAACAACTTGCATTTAGAGGGGGAGAAGCGCATCCCAAACATCCTGGCATTGTTGCTCAGTGCTACCAACAGATACTGCATTTTATCAGTGTCTTCACCAAACAGGACTATATCATCTGCGTATTCTAAGTCGATAAGTGGACCTCTTGGTAGGAGATCAATGCCCGAAAATTCAGTCGATGAGAGCATTGTTTCCATCAGTATGTCTATGATGAAACTAAACAAAAATGGCGAAAGTGGACAGCCTTGCCAGACACCACTTGAGGTTGCAAAAGCAGATGACAGTTCGCCGTAAGCTCTTACTCGACTAGTAGTGTTCGAGTAAAGAGCATTCACAAGGTTTATCTACTTCTGAGGTACGCCTTTCAATGACACACTGCCACAGAACCTCTCGGTTCACGGAGTCGAGTGCTACTTTTAAATTAAGGAAAACTATCATTGTCGGATGCCGATAAGCATGTCTGAGTTCTAAAACCTGACGAATAGTGAATACGTGGTCGATGTAGCCACGACCAGGTTTGAAGCCAACCAGATTTTCTCCTGTTTGAAATTCACGAGTCTTTGTTAAGCGTCCGACACTTATTGAGGCTAGTATTTTAGATGCTATATTAGTCATACTAATCTCTCTATGGTTATTACAGGATGATTTGGACCGCTTCTTATATATTGGGACAATCAGTGACCGCGACCAGTTAGATGGAATTACATTCAGTTCCCAGAGTTAGACTAAAATATTAATTAACCTAATCGCTAAAACTGAACCACCATCCTTAAACACCTCTGGAGCCAATCCATCCGGACCAGCTGCTCTTCCTCGTTTCAGATTAACTATAGTTTTTTGGACTTCCATCAGAGTCGGAGGTGGCTACTTCAATGTTTCATTTAGGTTGTTTGGGAATTTCGGGTAGTTGTAGAGTAGAGCTAATCATCATAATATGGATAATCTACTTTGTATTGAGGTATTTTGTAACAATATTCTGGTGAGATCAAACTTAATACGTAGTAAAAAGCAAAGACAAATTACTCCGAACACTGGCACAGCTACGATTAATTTGAAGTGAAAGTACCAGTCTTTATAGAGATGGTACAAATGGACAAAAATAATAACGAAATAACTTAAAAATATGTAGCATTACAATCAGTAGCAGTGAATGATAGTAGTACTTGGATATATTTACTGTCACACTAATGTTTCATTATACATTGTATTCATTGTGGCAATATTTACTGCATGTTCATTGAATAAAATACTGAAAATATCCTAAATATGTATCTCATCTGAAATATATGTAGGCAATAGAAACGACTATAAATTACTTCACAATTCAGTAAACTTACTACATAATACCATAGCCTCGTATTCTGATTCTGATGGACACTTAAAAGAGGAGCGCCAAAATATATCCATACCTTGTCCACGATGCAATACAAGCATTTGCTCTAAAAGTTCAAATGAAACAATTTCACTTTTACTCAACAAACGAGACTTGATAACACTGAATTCTGATAGCAAAACAAAAAAGCATACAGGAAGCTGTTATTGTGTTAAAGTATAACCGTCCCAATGATAAGACCGATGAATTTACACCACAAGTCAGTTCGCATATACTACATCACAGTCTAATAATATCTATACATATCCCGACCGTTTTTGCTACATTGACGTGGTGGTAGGGCTTGCCCATCGTGATGAACCAACCGAGCTATACTGGCTAAAACAATCGTTCTTCAAGATCCTACCAAGCCAAACAGGTCAGCTGAAGAGCGATAAGACTAAAAGCAACAAACCCAAGGTCTGAAGGCGAAGTCGTACTGCTGACTGTACAGAGGAGTGACATTATTTATTTATTTTGACACATAGATATTCGTACAAGGAGGCACCAAATACATATGCGCCACACAAATCTCATTCGATATGTATGAGGGCTGTGATACTGCCCGGGTGCCCAAACCGAAGCAGGTGGTTTTCTTAAGGGGCCACTTCCCGAGCCTTCGACCTGAAGGTCTGACCCATAAGGCAGTGGAGCATCGTAAGGAGATGCAGTCACATGGAAGCCGGTGACCAACAATTGGTTCATACGCTATATGTTCCCACAGGATACTGGAGCCAATGTGCACCATCAGTTTGGAATCAGGTTAAAGCGCCGGACATTCGCTTTTCATCCTCTCATTTTTGTAAACAACACCCCCGCCACGAGAAGGCAGTGAGTAGGACTTCCCTGACAAAGGCTATATACGCGTGGCCATGTGAGAGCATTTCGAGAGGGAGAGCGGACTCTCCCCACTCTCGACCATACCAGGGCATTTAGGGGCCTTCAGACAACTAGCATAACAGTGATTCTGCCTTTCCACAAGGAGAAGTGGGGTTAGTAAAGGTCGACGCTAAAAATGCACACCTCGTCTTTTCCCACGAATATCCGTCTCCGGCTACAAGGTCCCAACAAGTACGGAGCTAACACGAAAACTACTCACAAAAGGTCGTGTGTGACTGGCTTCAAGCAGTTGTCTCTTGGGCATTGCCGTCACGCTCTCACGTTACTAAGACCACCTCTATTCCGATTTCCTTTTCAAGTACCTCCCGAAGAACCCTTGCACGATGTAAGCAACCATGAAGTGATAACCGCACTCATACCTCTAACAGCACTCAAGACCACTTTATTCAAAATCAACGTCTTTCTTCAGTTCCTATTATTTTTCCTACGGCGACCTTCAGCACTAAACTTCCTCTTTTAACTTCGTCCTCAAATGTCATCATAGCCAACGATTCTAGTGCGCAAAACATTGTCCCAGGTCTACTGAAACCTCGCTTCAAACTACACATTGGAGCCTTCAAATTACGCACACTATGTCAGATCGGTCAGCAGGCCTCTTAGGCTGAGACTCTAGAATCTCGTACTATTGATATATGTTGTCTCCAAAACACGTATACTGGATCCTAGTGTGGTCTTTCACTTGACCCCACCTCGCCAAAACGAAAAGCCGACGAGATACACCCTCCGTGTATCTGGTGACCCGATGGCCAGTTCTTGTGGACTGGAAGGTGTAGACATAGCACTAAGCACGAGGGCGGAACAAGCACTATGAGAGTGTATCCCGTTAACAGTCGTCAATGTGTTGTTCGATTTAACGGCTCTGTAAGAACTCGGAAGGATCGGGACACACGTCGTTGCCTTTTCGTCGTTTCTGCCTACGCTGCCACTGACTGCGACACGGATGAAGTGAAAGATTACTTTTACAGCAAGCTTCTTCAGAAAGCTAAACGCTCAGACATAGTACTCGTAGCAGGTGACTTTAATGCCCAGATAGGTAGTCTAAACTAAACAGAAAGACATTTAGGTAGGTATTTTAGTATCCCAGCTCAGCGAACAGATAATGGTGACCGTCTGCTGCAACTGTGCTCAGACAATCGTTTATTTTTAGCAAACAATAATTTTAAGCATAAGAAGAGACATCATCTAACATGGCGACCCCCTTCATCAAGCCAATGATGGACTCAAATAGACCATATTGCCATCAGTCGTCGTTGGAAAGGGTTGATAGAAGATTGTGGCTCATTCTTAAATACCTGCTTGAACTCCGGCCATGCTCTAATACGGGCACACATTCGCTTGCGCCTCACTGAACGCAGAAAAGCCACACTAAAAAGACCCATTAGAATTTAAGTGAGCAATGATAAAACCAAAAGTAGGTTCCAGGAAGAACTGAGGTCACACTTAGGTTATTATGAAAATGAGGCTGACCCAGATGTTGCTTGGAAAGATTTACACGCAGCTGTGAAAACAGCGGTGATATCTATTAGTGATTTGAACAAAAGGGTTACACAGAAACATTGGATTCTTTCAAGGTCTGTTGCACTGATGGATTCTCGTAAACTCATCCTATCAGACTCTGAACACGATGATGAAAGAAAATCAGATCTAGGCTAAGCAAAAGTTTGAAGAACGACCGTGAGCAGTGGTGGGCATCGAAATCAAGAGACGGGAAAGGCGGTGGCTATGGTGAACACAATACAAATCTTCAGATTCATAGAAGAAACTGCAACTGAAAGGTCAAGTGTGAAACTATTTTAGAAAAAGACGACACGACATTGAAGTAGCCGCCTCCGACTCTGATGGAAGTCCAAAAAACTATAGTTAATCTGAAACGAGGAAGAGCAGCTGGTCCGGATGGATTGGCTCCAGAGGTGTTTAAGGATGGTGGTTCAGTTTTAGCGATTAGGTTAATTAATATTTTAGTCTAACTCTGGGAACTGAATGTAATTCCATCTAACTGGTCGCGGTCACTGATTGTCCCAATATATAAGAAGCGGTCCAAATCATCCTGTAATAACCATAGAGAGATTAGTATGACTAATATAGCATCTAAAATACTAGCCTCAATAAGTGTCGGACGCTTAACAAAGACTCGTGAATTTCAAACAGGAGAAAATCTGGTTGGCTTCAAACCTGGTCGTGGCTACATCGACCACGTATTCACTATTCGTCAGGTTTTAGAACTCAGACATGCTTATCGGCATCCGACAATGATAGTTTTCCTTAATTTAAAAGTAGCACTCGACTCCGTGAACCGAGAGGTTCTGTGGCAGTGTGTCATTGAAAGGCGTACCTCAGAAGTAGATAAACCTTGTGAATGCTCTTTACTCGAACACTACTAGTCGAGTAAGAGCTTACGGCGAACTGTCATCTGCTTTTGCAACCTCAAGTGGTGTCTGGCAAGGCTGTCCACTTTCGCCATTTTTGTTTAGTTTCATCATAGACATACTGATGGAAACAATGCTCTCATCGACTGAATTTTCGGGCATTGATCTCCTACCAAGAGGTCCACTTATCGACTTAGAATACGCAGATGATATAGTCCTGTTTGGTGAAGACACTGATAAAATGCAGTATCTGTTGGTAGCACTGAGCAACAATGCCAGGATGTTTGGGATGCGCTTCTCCCCCTCTAAATGCAAGTTGTTGTTTCAGGACTGGTCTGCGTCAACACCTGAACTAAGGATCAGGAGTGAAGTAGTCGAACGCGTAGACAACTCTACTTATCTTGGAAGTCTGATCAGCCCTAATGGGTTGGTGTCTGACGAAATCTCTACACAGATTCGAAAAGCTCGTTTGACGTTTACCAACTTACGTCACCTATGGCGAAGGCGAGATATCCGTCTATCAATTAAGGGATGAGTGTACTGCTCGGTAGTTCGTTCTGTTCTACTTTACGTCTGCGAAACATTGCCATTAAGAGTAGAAGATACTCGTAAGTTACTGGTATTTGATCACAGATGTCTTAGAAATATTGCTCGCATCTGCTGGGATCATCGGGTAAGTTAATGTTAACCAGAAATATTACGCAGAACAGTGAAGTTGTAGAAGAGAAAAATCTAACTGGTATCAGCGGTGAAACCCAGGACATATCACTTAAGTCGCAAGTTATCCATTACAGTGAAATAGTTTCAAAAATTAAAGGAATCAAATAAGTAAGATAAGAGATTCACAATAGAATCGCAAAATAACACGAATCTTATAGTTTACACTGCTGAATGATCTTAAATATTGAAAAACAGAAAGACAGTGGTTTCGTTCTGGTATTGGACTTACTAACAGTGTGGAGTCATTGAATTGAGAATATCGAACCCAGGACATTCAATCCTCACGACGAGTACTTAGACGTTAGACAACTGGCCCGACACAACCACTGATTTACGTAATCTAACTATAATGGATGTGGGATACTGAGAGATCATCATTCATAGCTAGTGGTGATATTTGTCTTAAACTCGACATAGTTAAACTCCAAAAATTACTTTTCAATAAAACTCTTGGAATTACTACCTGCACTTAATCACTAGTGAGCACATGCTTATTACTATGAGGGTTTATAAACTGCTAAATTTCGTCATTTTATTCTACGGAGACATGAAGGTCCTGACCGTCTAAGACAATTCCGAGATTTATACAAACTCCTGTAGAAATAATAACATCAATCTATGTTTCGTAGCTAAAGTCATTATCAATATCGAATCAATATACAATCACACCAACCAAATATTTGCCCCCAAATGCCCTGGTACGGCCGAGAGTGGGGAGAGTCCGCTCTCCCTCTCGAAATACTCTCACACGGCCACGCGTATATAGCCTTTGTCAGGGAAGTCCTACTCACTGCCTTCTCGTGGCGGGGGTGTTGTTTACGAAAATGAGAGGATGAAAAGCGAATGTCCGGCGCTTTAACCGGATTCCAAAACAATGGTGCACATGGGCTCCAGTATCCTGCGGGAACAAATGGCGAATGAACCAATTGTTGGTCACCGGCTTCCATGGGACTGCATCTCCTTACGATGCTCCACTGCCTTGTGGATCAGACCTTTGGGTTGAAGGCTCGGGGTGTGGCCCCCTAAGTAAACCACCTGCTTCGGTTTGGGCACCCGGGCAGTATCACAGCCCTCACACATATCGGATGAGATTTGTGTGGCGCATATGTATTTGGTGCCTCTTTGTACCATTATCTATGTGTTGAAATAAATAAATAAATAATATTTCTTAGAAAATGTAACTATCAAGCACCTGTAAATATTTTTACCGATTCAGGACGTTCTAGTAGAGATAATTTTTCTAGAGCAAGAAAATAAGCATAGTTTGCGGAATTGATAGACGGTGCGACTCCAAAAATACAATGAGCAGCTGGTTTACCACGCCGTAAGTGAGAACCATCTTCGATGTCATCAATACTAAAAATGTAAATCAAAAACGAATTTTTATCACAATAAAGACCAAAACAATGAAAACACCGATTTCCTCATTAATTATATATATATATATATATATATATATATAACTTTACTCAACCCTTATGAGCAAATCAATATATGAACAAGAATTCAAGTATGGCTGAGACGAAGTTGGAAAATACTTATACATTTTATCGGAAATGAGGATGAAATATACAAGTATTGATAACATGAAATTTCTTTTCGCGAAGTACGGGTTTATGTACTTAATTTTGAGCTGAAAGACTTATATGAGGGCTAGCGATAAAATCCAGTTATCTAAGCTAAGTGTAACGATATTTGACTTAGTAGTTGACAAGCAAGTAACTGAACCACTGAATTATCACCACACAAACTAAGGAAATTATAAGTGTTAATATTGTTAACTACAAATTGTTTTATCAGATCTCTTAAAACACGACCAAACTTTGTACAGATGTACCATACAAGCATCCAACTTAAAAAACAGATTCTCATGAGTTATTTAATGACAACAGTGGATGACTGATCAAAATAACTATCACAGGGCTACTCACAGCAGAAGCCTGACTACTGTATTTCTCCATGCATAAATATAACGAAACTATAAACACTCCTATGGCAACTAATTTGAGGATATTCAAAGAAACTCCCCAAATAGCATATAACCTTACAATTACCAAGACTAGAAACGACCAGAAAAAGATGGGGGAATGTAAACTCAGATTATAGTCAAACGAAGGAATCATTACAGTAATGATATGTAAGTTGGACGGAAACTCATTGACGTTTAGTTCAAAAAATAATACAAGTCACCATAGACGATGACCCAACTTGGATGAGTCATATCAGTGTGAACAACACAAACTATAGGATTTGCTTTCTACAGTACGTAAACGATACGAGAAAACCTGTAGCATGAGTGGTATCAGTGGGCCTCATGTTTAAAACTAGCATTACCCACTTAGGTAGTAACACGAATCCACAAAGTTATAGTTGATAAATGGGATTTGATCAAGGTAGTTCACCGAAATAGGACAAAATTTTCAGCAAATCCTACCAGTAACAAATCTTTGATATTAAGAGAAACTAACCAAAACCAACTTGTTACTTACAAATAATCAGTAACAAGCAGAATCTTGATATACTATTCAAAAACTTCGTATAATCACAATAGTCAGGCGAATTTCGCCTAAAATGTGCTAATAAAAATGGAGGCAAAGTTTTGGAATAAGGCCTTTTCGATTCAGGAGCACCATCTTTACATATGCACAGATGGGCCGGTGATGGCTTTCACCCATAAACTGATTTCAGACTCTCACCCCCCCCCCACCGATTGACTAATTCTAAACATTCGGGCAGGACTTCTAGGAAAAATAGACAAACCAAGGTTGAGCATATGAATCTACATGTGGTTCCTGAGTTTTATTTAATATGTTGGTGTTTGAAACCAGATATCCTTAGAGCTAATACAGACGACCGCCTCATCTTACATGTAGGTTAGAAATTATTGGCAATATGAGCCGTGTAGGCTTTCCATCTGGGACCTCAGACTCGAGAAGCCGGTAGCCAGGTACAAAATGTGATTGTTAGTATCCAATCACAGTAGCGCGTGTGCATACTGTTTTCATTTCTGGATTTAAGATCTCATTATCCAGGCTCTTAATCCATCCTAACTGTTCTTATTTGTTCTATCCTAGGAGTCTGACTTAGGGGAAACAGAATTGTACCTCATTATCATAATGTTGTACGCGCAAGAAAAAGAGATAATAACGATCAATAGGGTAAAAGTCTTGCATTCCACACAAAGCTTGGTTTCGACAGTAAAGTGACGTAGTTTTGGTGCAATTCTCGGAACCCATCAGCTCCATTACTTCATTATCTTGAAAACTGGGGAGTGTAATGATGTAGTACTGTTATTATCAACATTGAGTGACATTTTGTATACAACACCCATATATTTGAGTAACCCATTGACTAATAAGTGCGTTAAACTTGCAAGTCTGTGGTAGAAAAAACCAAATCTCAGATTATTAAATCACCAATTTACTAAAGAATACTTAGGTATATGTGTGTATGCTAGATATTACTGGTAACTGCAATAAACTCATGAAAAGTCTTACATCAAACTGGCGTTGTGCAGCATTTGGATTACACTCGATATGATACTCAAAACGCTTTCAGGAACTTTCAGCCAGTAATTAAAAGCTGCCACCAATGCACTGCGAATTCCTTTCCCATTTGTACTACATATGTAACTATATGGTTCCATAACCACCTGCTGTACATGGAGAAAACACTAAGACATACTTTTTCAGCAGTTTTGTTAAATTCAAGGCCACTTCTTTTTGCATCCATTGCTGAACAATTTTGTCTCACTAGGTTGAGCGTGTCTCCTGGCGCGGTGGGCAATGGTCGGTTGATGGAGGCTGCTGAGCACTTGAAGGTCAACCCGTCATAAAACGATTGGTGCGTCACCTCGACAATTTGTAAGGCTTTGCAGAAGCGGTCAAAGCAAGATGGTTTTAGATTTGTTTTGAGTTCAGCCACACTGACTGATAACGTCCATCCTTCAAGTAACGAAAGTGATACCATCGTAGTGATGCATGATGTATGACGAATCTTGCTACCACAACGATTGACTATTTGAGATGACTTCATGACCTGCGTGAAAGAAACACGGAAGGTAATACGACTTCTGTGGTTAATAACTCCTTACAAAACATACCCGCAGTAAGTATATCATATCGACATGTAAAACGAATTAAGCTGATCCAACTCTACTAATTTTTCGTCAGATTCTATGAACCGCGTGTTTAAAAAAAGGCAGCGATTTAGTACTTGTTGTATTTATAGCTGCTTTTATGCACTTGTTGCATCAAAAAGCATCCTCGGAATACTGTAACTCGAAGTACTGTGGTTGAGGTTTGAAATTTTGCCAAACTTTGTCTTGTGGTACCTTCTTTCTCATTGACTCCGACACTTGTGTACATATTGTGATCATATTGTGTTTTAAACCTTCCTAATCGGATTACAATGGTTGGTAGTACTTATAAATATGAATAGCTAAATTGTTTATTCCTCGTGCAGGAATTAATGCAATGTGGTCAGCATTAAAAGTGGTTCCAAAACATGTGTACCCGTTTAAGTACCACCGCACACAAAATATGCTCAAAGCCTAATTCGCATCGGCTTTGTATATTATGCTGTACGAATAAGATGTTACTTAGTCATGAGGCTGTGAGCCTATAAGCTCTGGCCTGTCAGGAAAAAGATGGTGGTTGCGCTGGCAACAGGAGTTTCGGCAGTGAAAAATGTGTCAGTGTAGTAGTTGCTGTTAAGAGACGCGTTAAACAGCCGACTGTAATTGACGAAAAAGTAAAATCTCAGTTGAAACTAACGAGAAATGAGGTGCACTTGATATTGACATGAGAAGTCATGCACCTTTAGTGAAAATTGAAGACCCGGACAAAAGGCTCACTGTCCTGAATGATCATATGTGACTGTCTGAATGATGAAAAACGGACGACGGTACGGAGAACAAGAACTGAAAAGAAAAAAGACATAAGCGGCACACAATTGGTTAGCAAACCATTGGTAAACTTCCACTATAAGTTATAAAATACACTACCAAAGTATGATAGTAAGAGAGAAACTCCACCCTGTCGTGGCTAGGAAGAATTTTATCTCATCGAACATTATTATGAGTAATTTGCTAGAGTCAGACGATCTTGATGCCAAAATTAGACACGCGCATGATTTGGAGAAGCTTGGAGAATATATCCTCAACAACTTACCAGTTAACTCTAAAGGAGTTCAGGTCAAAAAGTGATAAGAATAGGTAAGAGGATCAACTACGGAGATGGTAGAGAAGATTTGTAGCTCAGGTGGATGATTTTGGTGGACTTTTGTTCTCTGGGCTGGATGGTTTGATCCAACTACAGTTTTGAACTCCGACCACATAGACTCCTTAAGATTATCCTAGGGTCGGAGAAGCAACGTGATCTTCTGTTAAGTAACTCTCGTATTCATGACAATACCGACATCAGAGTACGCCATGATATATCTCTTGAAGATAGAATAAAAAGAAGGATGGCACTAGCTGAACTAAAAACCCGTCGACAAAACGGTGAGGAAAATCTCTCATTGATGGGTCTTGGAAGCGAATGCTATCAAGGCCTATGTTGATAATCCTTTCTTCCTTGGAGTTTTATATACCGATGCTCGTAGCCTAAGAATTAAATTCTATGAACTAGGAGCATTAGTAGACAAATTAAAGCCATTCATAGTAGCTGTGACAGAAAGTTGGTTAGTCCATGACTTCGAAATTACCCCAGAATTATCAGGATACCACGACCTAAGAAGTGATAAACATAGATATAGGGAAGGAGGTGGCGTCCTTTTATACATGGCTAATAACATGAATATTCGCTCCTTTACTTGGGCGTCCCATGATAGTGGAACTTTCGATGACATCAGCTTTAAGCTCACTATCAGATGTTGTACATTTATACTCGGTGTCATCTAGAACAGCCCAATCTGCTTAACTGATGACTTTGTTTCAGAGCACATTCAGCTATGGAGTGCGAATAGCAGATGCTTAACATTAGGAGACTTTAGTGCACCTGATATTAGTTGAACTGAGATGGCCACGGTAGGATATATTAACTCTTTTGATGGTAGGTTTCTGATGACCATAACGGAGCATTCATCAGCAGAGAGTGTATCTAAACCTAGACGTTTCAGTGCAAACCAAGGTTCTTCTTTGTTAGACTTGGTAACCACTCATGCAACTGAGGACATTGCCAGCTCCAATATTCTTCCAACGTTAGGGAATGACAATCACGCTATTTTGTCACTCATGTTTAGAGCTAGTGACATGATATGCGATTAGATTAGGCCTCATCCAAATCTAAGAAGAACTAACACATTAACCATTTAAGAGTGCGCTTAAAAAAAAGATTGGTCTTTAGATACTAGCTCATCAGTTGAAGAAGCATGGTCTATATTTAAAGGTAAGTTTAGTTAAGTTACGTCCTCGTTCATACCATACTTAGTACTGTAGTGAACAAGAACACGGGTGGGGACAATCGAATGTATTTAGCTCGAAAATTACAGACTATCTCAACAAAATCTGAATACCATAAAGTCAATCGTCAATTTGCAAATTATCAATGCATCATATCAAACTGTACTGTTCAAGTTGCAAACACTAATCCATTGTCTCCCATTTCATTGTTCATGCGATTTCTTACAAATTCCATTGCGTTCTTGCTCTTCTTTTCTTGATCTTCTCCATTTTCTGCTGCCAGACATTACATCCTTTTAACGCACATTATATACTACTTATGTCAATATAAGTAGTTCACACCACACTCGTCCCCCCTTTTAATAAGTTGCTGTCGTAGTCTTTCTGATCTCCGTACCGCTGTCTTCTTTGGTGCTTTTCGTGACTCACGACCATGCTGGTATTGAAACCATCTCTGCAGTTGACTAGCGTTTACTCGCTTCTGCTTGTCTTCTCTCCGGATCGTGTAGACTGAGCCACGTCTCTCCGTGATAACATACGGTCCTTCCCACTTTGGGATCAGCTTCCCCGACCCTGCTCCCCCTGCTATGTTACCTTTTCGTTCTCTACACTTTACTAGGTCCCCCACTGCAAAGGGTTTCCACGTTCTCCTTTGTTGTTCCGCCTTCTTTATGTCTGATATCTGTTTCTTTTCCACGTTCCTTATTGCCTCCCTCCTCTCTTTTCTTAACCTTGTTGTCGTCCATTTCTGTTGTTGTGGCCAAGTCTTATTATGCATTGGAAGTCGTGGCTGTCTGCCATACATGAGTAAGAAAGGTGACTTCTTGGTTGTTCCTTGTGTAGAGGAACGATGCGCCAGCAAAATCAATGGTAATTCTTTCTCCCAATTTCCTCCTTTAGATGCTAACCATTCCTTTAACGTCCGATTGTTTCTCTCTGTAAGCCCGTTTGTCTGAGGATGATACGGTGTGGTTCGTATTCGCTTGATTCCAAACTGCTTTAAACGGGCTTTAAACTCGTCGCTTTCAAAACAGGGACCCTGGTCAGTTAATATCATCTTCGGTATTCCGTGACATGCTACAATATGCCGGATTACCACTTCGGTCACTGTCCTTGCCCGTTGGTCTGCAATGGGTACAGCATCTACCCAACGTGTAGCATGTTCCGTCATTACTAGCAGGTACTGGTTACCGCTCGCCGTCTGTGGAAACGGTCCCATCACATCCACCGACCATAGATCACCGACTGCGGTTACTGGGATTGACTGTAATGGCGGTTGTGTGTATCGGTCGCTTTTCATTAGCTGACACTGCTGGCAAGTTAACACGTATTCAGCCACATCGTCTCTCATGCCAGGCCAGTATGCACTCTGTCGTAGTAAATCCGTCGTTCTTGCGATTCCTGTATGCGCTACCTGGTGACATTCGTGTATCACTTTACGCCGCCAGCCTTTCGGGATCACCGCCACCCAATTCTCGTCATCGTCCTGCCAGGTCAGGACTCCATATGAGTTCACTCTCAGTCGTTCCTTTTGCCGAAGCAGCGTTATTACCTCCTTGTCCGTTGTTCGTTTGTCTACGTCTGCTCCCTCTTTTATCACTCTGATTACCTCTCGAAGATTAGGGTCAGCTTTCTGCTGCCGGACGAGTTCTAATGGGTCTCCCTCTAAACTGTTCACCGCGTATGCTGTTAATGGCAGGTCGGCTTCCATGTCTGGTCTCGACAAGTAATCCGCCATCACGTTTTCTTTTCCTGGAACATGGCCGATACTGAAGTCATATTCTTGCAGACGTATCATCCATCGGGCCAACTTCCCTCGGGGGTCTCTTGCTGTTTTCAACCACTGCAGGGGTTTATGGTCGGTCTCAATGTGAAACCGTCTACCTAAAAGGTACGGTCTCCATTTTTCTACTGCCCACACGATTGCTAAACACTCCTTTTCGATGGTTGAATACTTCTGTTCAGCGGGTGTGAGGACGCGACTCGCGTATTCCACCACTCTATCAGCCTGACTCAACACAGCACCTATACCATGATCACTCGCGTCTGTGGCCACTGTGAACAGTTTTCCCGGTTCAGGCAGTCTGAGCGTCATCTGACGATCGTCTAGCATGTTTTTGATTCGGTTGAACGTTTGTTCGGCAGTCTCAGTCCACGTAAACTTGGTGTTGCTCAATAACTTATATAAGGGTGCTGCTATTTCGTTGAAATTCTTGACAAACCGACTGTAGAATGCCGCTCTTCCCAGGAACTGTCTCAATTTCCTTTTCGAATTAGGTACTGCAATATTTTTTATGGTAAGAATTTTTTCCGGTAATGGTTTTATTTC